TCAATGTGTTAAGATGGAATCAATGTTAGATTGTAAGATTATTGGGTTATCTGATCATGTCATTACTCTTGGTGTTATCTTCTCTTGCCCTCAGCCCTGTACAAAATTGCAGATGCTGCTCCAGTTGTTTCTGTTGGTGAAATCAGAGAGAGCTACGGTCCTGTTGGCACTCTGGCTGTTGAATGGGATGTAAGTGGTGTAAGCATGGGATGTGTGTGGTGTACAGATGGGATGTAAGTGGTGTGCATATGTGATGTAAGTGGTTTTCATTAGTGATTGAAGTATTGAGCATATGAAATGTAAATGTTGTGCATATGTGATGTAAGTGGTGTGCACATGGGATGTGAGTGGTGTACATAAGTGATGTAAGTATTATGCATATGAAATGTGAGTGCTATGCATTTGTGATGTAACTTGTGCATATGTGATGTAAGTGGTGTTCATAAATGATTTAAGTTTTGTGCATATGAGGTGTAAATGTTGTACATATGAAATGTAAGTGTTATGCATTTGATGTAAATGTTGTGCCTATGTGATGTAACTTGTGCATATGTGATGTAAGTGGTGTGTTTAAGTGATTTAAGTTTTGTGCATATGAGATATAACTTGTGCATATGTGATGTAAATGGTATTCATAAATGATTTAAGTGTGGTTCATATGAGATGTAAATGTTGTGCATATGTCATGTAAATGTTGTGCATATGTGATATAATTGTTGTGCGTTTGTGATGTAAGTGTTGTGCATATGTGATTTAAATGTTATGTTTATGTGATGTAAGTGGTGAGTACATGTGGTGTTGGTGGTGGGGGATGTAATTTGTGTACATATGGCATTTAAGTGCTGTTTAAATAAGTCAATAAAATGTTTCTGTATGATCACCTGCTTGTTGTCCATTGAACAGAGTACAGGGCATTCTAAATCCAATATTATAAAAAATTGATCATTGTGATTAAATTAAAATGATTTGGAGTCTTACTGACCAATCAAGGGGTAGCTACTTAGTTGTTTTTTTTTAAATATGTAAAACGATTTCATAGACTTAACATTCAGCTACCATGTTTGTTTGAGTTCAGCATCCATGTTTGGATGAGTCTGTGGCTAGAAATGAAAAATAGTAACTTTATTTCTTCTGATTTTAGCTCTTGGACCAGGAAGATCTCACAGGGGAGGCAACAGGTTATGCGGTTTATTACAGAAAAAAAGACAGCACGGTTGTTGAAACAAAATGGAGCATGGTAGTGTTTAGTTTTCATTTCTTTTAGTTTGATAAAATTTTAAAATTTGTATTAATTGTATTTCAATGTGTTTAATTTGTATTTATTCTTTCAATGACAGTCTCTCATAGTTCTGTGAAACATTGATTTTATACTTGTGACTGAATAAAAAGATTACTTTGTTTCAGGGAACAGTTGGTGGGCATGAAAACAAATTTTCTGCCCTCATAGGGGTGGACAATTACTACCTGGAGTATGAAATCAAACTGGCAGCTTTTAACAGCTTAGGTCAAGGCCCCAACTCTACCATTTTTGTTATTATGTCGCAAGCTGATAGTAAGTTGAATAATTTCCCCTGAATATGTAGCTTTAAGATTTGATATTCTTACCTTTCTTAAACAACACACATATATATTTATGTCAAAAATATTCTGTATCCCAAGGGATGTTACCAATGCCGACAAAGTTATTTCCCTCAGGCCACTGAATATACTACTACAACTATTTCAAAAATACCTGTACATCTTAAATAAACTGAATGAAAATGAACTGGTATGGATACAGATAAAGATGGACAGGTTACATCTAGTCCAGAATTAGCGTGACACTTTACTTTCATCTACTCAAAGTCCCCCCAACTTCCCCCACCTTGATTGCTCTGTGGTCAGAGGTGTAACTAGGGTCAATGCTCTGTGGTCAGAGGTGTAACTAGGGTCAATGCTCTGTGGTCAGAGGTGTAACTAGGGTCTTTGCTGCCGAGAGTAGGCCAAGATTTTTGCTGCCACCCTCCAAGAACAACTGTGCAATTAGCAAAAGTTCCCCATTGGTCTGTCTTAACCTACTTATGCTCTGTCACATTCCTCTTGCTGTCCTCTTGTTTATGTCATTGCTGTTAAGGGTTTATTTTTATATTGTTTTTATTGTTGCTTGTTGGCAGAAGAAGGCATCTTGCCAACACGTTCCTTTGTTTTGTTGCATCCTTTTTTCCAGTGTCCCATACTTTGTTTCGCTATTTCATTGCCAAAAAATTCCATCCCTGGATGTAAAGAAATAAGTGCCACCCGGGGTGGACTGCACTTAACATGAGCAACATTGCTGGACATATTGCAGCAGGTACCTACAAAAAATATGTCAATAACATTTCTTGACATATTGCAGCAGGTACCGACAAAATAATATGTCAATAACATTTCTTGACATATTGCAGCAGGTACCGACAAAATAATATGTCAATAATATTTCTTGACATATTGCAGCAGGTACCTACAAAAAAATATGTCAATAACATTTCTTGACATATTGCAGCAGGTACCGACAAAATAATATGTCAATAACATTTCTTGACATATTGCAGCAGGTACCGACAAAATAATATGTCAATAACATTTCTTGACATATTGCAGCAGGTACCGACAAAATAATATGTCAATAATATTTCTTGACATATTGCAGCAGGTACCGACAAAATAATATGTCAATAACATTTCTTGACATATTGCAGCAGGTACCGACAAAATAATATGTCAATAACTTTTCTTGACATATTGCAGCAGGTACCGACAAAATAATATGTCAATAATATTTCTTGACATATTGCAGCAGGTACCTACAAAAAAATATGTCAATAAAATTTCTTGACATATTGCAGCAGATACCGAAAAAATAATATGTCAATAACATTTCTTGACATATTGCAGCAGGTACCGACAAAATAATATGTCAATAACATTTCTCGACATATTGCAGCAGGTACCTACAAAAAATATGTCAATAACATTTCTTGACATATTGCAGCAGGTACCGACAAAATAATATGTCAATAACATTTCTTGACATATTGCAGCAGGTACCTACAAAAAAATATGTCAATAACATTTCTTGACATATTGCAGCAGGTACCGACAAAATAATATGTCAATAACATTTCTTGACATATTGCAGCAGGTACCTACAAAATAATATATCAATAACATTTCTTGACATATTGCAGCAGGTACCGACAAAATAATATGTCAATAATATTTCTTGACATATTGCAGCAGGCACCTACAAAATAATATGTCAATAACATTTCTTGACATATTGCAGCAGGTACCTACAAAATAATATGTCAATAACATTTCTTGACATATTGCAGCAGGTACCGACAAAATAATGTCAATAACATTTCTTGACATATTGCAGCAGGTACCTACAAAATAATATGTCAATAACATTTCTTGACATATTGCAGCAGGTACCGAAAAAATAATATGTCAATAACATTTCTTGACATATTGCAGCAGGTACCTACAAAATAATATGTCAATAATATTTCTTGACATGTGTCAAAGCAGCAAGCAGCTGAAAAAGTTATTATTAAAAATGACCAGACTTTCTAATGTGTCCAACATGCCAGATACAGTGACCAGACTTTCTAATGTGTCCAACATGTCAGATACAGTGACCAGACTTCCTAATGTGTCCAACATGCCAGATACAGTGACCAGACTTCCTAATGTGTCCAACATGCCGATACAAAACTAAACTAGAAATCTGTGAATCACCAACAGATGAAAATATATTCAAGTTTTTACAAGGAAGGAATTTCCCTTGTTAATAGATCATCCATATAGGCTAAATTTATAACAACTATGTAGGCTATCTTTACTGTAACTATGTATGCTAACTTTACAGTAACTATGTCAAGTTTCTTATATAATTATTTTAAAAATGTTACAGTGCCACTGGGAGCAGCCACAAAAGTTCACCTCAAGACTTACAACAGTACAGCTATCAGTGTTTACTGGACACCTATTCCACTGGTTAGAGAGTATATCAGAGGAAAGGTCATAGGTTATGGGGTGAGCAGGTTTTATTTTTAATTTGGATGAAAACATTTTATTTTATGTTCAGAATTTATGCTATATGTGGTAATGTTTGCTAATCTGTCATATTGTATGCTGTATGTGGTTACGGTGTGCTATACGTGGTAGTGAATGCTATATGTGGTACTCTATGCTATATGTGGTACTGTATGCTGTATGTGGTACTGTATGCCATTCGTGGTACTGTATGCTATATGTGGTGCTGTATGCCACATGTGGTACAGTTTAGTTCAAATGTACACATGAAACCATCTGTAATATTACATCAACCAACAAAACCTCAATGGACATGTATTTATTTATTTCGGATCCTTAAACATTTTTAAGAGTGAAATCGACAGACATGAACTGTCTTGACTTTTCTCCATTATTTCAATTTTAGCTTTCTTATATACAGACTGTCAAATTTGAAATGTAGGGAAATAGAATGACTATAACCTTAATATAAATTCTTTGTAACTCTAAGAATGTCCATAAAATGTCTCTGTGATTTGTTGGGTATATTAATTATGCTCCAGGTGATAAGCCGCAATATTTTAAAACAACATAAATGAAGGCATCAATTTAGATAATCAGAAAATGGCATAATTGCTTGAAGGGAACACACTTTTCTATCTGACCTGGCTATGGATGATGTTTCTCCAAAAAATCAATTTTTAACAATGATAACTTGATGTTTTTTTTCAATAGTAAATTTTCAAAAAAATTAACCTGATTTTGACTGCCTTATGAATAATGGAATAGTATCATCCAATCATTAAGTTGGTAAAGTATCAGCCAATCAGTAAGTTTGTATAGTATCAGCCAATCATTAAGTTTGTATAGTATCAGCCAATCATTATTTGGTATTGTATCAGTCAATCATTAAGTTGGTATAGTATCAGCCAATCATTAAGTTGGTATAGTATCAGCCAATTATTAAGTTGGTATAGTATCAGCCAATCATTAAGTTGGTATAGTATCAGCCAATTATTAAGTTGGTATAGTATCAGCCAATCATAAAGTTTGTATAATATCATCCAATCATTATTTGATATTGTATCAGCCAATCATTAAGTTGGTATAGTATCAGCCAATCATTAAAGTAAGTATAGTATCAGCCATTCATTAAGCGGTACGCTCTATTGATAGATTATGATCTATACATGATACCCTTTTCACAAAGTGATTTGGTTTTTGTAGATACAAGAACTCGTCAATGGAAGAAGTGTTTTCTGCTTATATTTTGTTACCTAAATTATGTTATGTGGAATTATTTTTTTTTTAAAGAATCCTGAAAAAACTTAATTTGAATCCATATATAATCAATTATGCAAACCACTAAAAAAACATTAAAAAATCTCATAATTGTGTAAAGTGCAGTGGCTCAAAATAATTTTTAACAAAACTTTGAGCATTTATTTTCAGTTATCAATGGTACGTACACTATCTATCAACCAAATAAATAAACTTACATATGTGTACATTTAAAAACATTTACAAAATCAGATACCCGGTTTTAGCAAACTTATATATTAGCAAAATTATATATTAACAAACTTGTATATTGGTAAAAATATTTTGTTCAACATCACAGAAATATCACATGGGCTATTTTACTTTCATGCAAATATGTCTTAGAGCACTTGTTACTTTTGACATAAACCAATGGTCCCTTTTTACTGACCTAATCCAATGGTGTCCTACTGCTGACCTAATCCAATGGTGTCCGACTGCTGACCAAATCCAAGGGTGTCCTACTGCTGACCTAATCCAATGGTGTCCTACAGCTGACCTTATCCAGCGGTGTCCTACCACTGACCTAATCAAATGGTGTCCTACTGCTGACCTAATCCAATGGTGTCCTACTGCTGACCTAATCCAATGGTGTCCTACTACTGACCTAATACAATGGTGTCCTACTACTGACCTAACCCAAGGGTGTCCTACTACTGACCTAATCCGAGGGTTTCCTACTACTGTCCTAATCCGAGGATGTCCTACTACTGACGTAATCCAATGGTGTCCTACTGCTGACAAAATCCAATGGTGTCCTACTGCTGACCTTATCCAATGGTCTCCTACTGCTGACCTAATCCAAGGGTATCCTACTACTGATCTAATCCGAGGGTGTCCTACTACTGACCTAATCCAATGGTGTCCTATTACTGACCTTATCCAATGGTGTCCTACTTCTGACCTATTCCAATGGCGTCCTACTACTGACCTAACCCAAGGGTCTCCTACTACTGACCTAATCCGAGGATGTCCTACTACTGTCCTAATCTGAGGGTCTCCTACTACTGACCTAATCCAAGGGTGTCCTACTACTGATCTAATCCGAGGGTGTCCTACTACTGACCTAATCCAATGGTGTCCTACTACTGTCCTAATCCATGGGTGTCCTACTAATGACCTTATCCAAGGGTGTCCTACTAATGACCTCATCCAAAGGTGTCCTACTACTGACCTAATGAGATAACAGTTATAGCCAATGTTGTCATTGTGTTATTGGATCTGTGTGCTTGTAACTTCTAAGTACATGACTAAAAAAACTTCTCATAATGAAAACAATTTATTGATCTTTTTGGCTTCTGTTTTGAACTCAGAGTTTGACTTCTCATAGGTGAGTTGCCGTCCAAAGCTGGCGAGTCTCATCCACCCGTCCAAAGCTGACTTCCCCCATCCACCCGTCCAAAGCTGACGGGTCCCATCCACCTGTCCAAAGCTGACGGGTCCCATCCACCCATCCAAAGCTGACGGGTCCCATCCACCCGTCCAAAGCTGACGGGTCCCATCCACCCGTCCAAAGTTGACGGGTCCCATCCACCCGTCCAAAGCTGACGGGTCCCATCCACCCGCCCAAAGCTGACGGGTCCCATCCACCCATCCAAAGATGACGGGTCCCATCCACCCGGGGAGCTTTTGATGGTGGCTTTGGGGTAGATTGAGCTCCAGACCACCAGCTGTTGTGATTGAGTCAGTGTAGACCGGTCGGCCACCCAGCACCCACTTTAAAAACTATAATACAATGGACTATTAAAAAAAGAAAGTGGATGATTATCACTCAGTTTAAATTAAAACATTTTTCTTGTTAATAAATTTGTTTCATTTCTTATTTTGTTAATTATATTTACAATATCTTTAACTATCGTCAAGAGTCTAAAAACATCAACTTGTTTATAAGCGGGTTCGGCAGTCCAAGCTGGCGCAGTTTAACATCTCGGAGCTTGTCGTAGCCGACAGACTCCGAGACAACCAAGAAGCTGAGCGTGAACAGAGACCAGGGGTTGGAGCGGAGACGTTCAAAAGCTGCAAGGGCTTTCTCCGAGCAACGGTCCTGTTGCAGTTTGGCGTGGAAGTACGCGTCCTTGGGCAGGCGGTGGACGTCGTAGCTGGTGAGAAAGTTTAACTGGAGGAACAGCCGGGCGACCTCGACACTGTTACAGTAGAGTGCGAGGTGCAGAAGTGAGGTGGACCGGTCGAAGAAGTCCACGTCCTCGAGGTCGAAGGGGAAGTTGTGGTGGGCGTGAACGACGTACTGGACCATGGTCACGGGGTGGAGTCTGTAGCGGAGGAGGAGTCGTACCTGAGCAACATCTCCCCGGATAACTGAGAAGACCAGGGGATGGCACGGTTGGTTGATGCGTTGGCTGGCTGTAGACATGCTGGGGTTGGAACCTGTGCAGGGGAAAGAGTTGAAAGGGAGGGGTGGGGTGGGGTTGGTGGTTAATAATTGCTGATCTGGGCCTGTCTATCTGTTCAAGAACTCATTCAACATATCATATGGTCATACAGGTTTAACCGCACACTGGAGTCATATAGCATACATCACATTTAGATGTCATACACCATATATCACGTACAGCTGTCATACTACATGCATCACGTTCAGTTGTCATACTCCATACATCACATACATCTGGCATACACCATACATCACATACATCTGGCATACACCATACATCACATACAGCTGGCATACACCATACATCGCATACATCTGGCAGACACCATACATTACATACATCTGGCATACATGTTGCAAGAATGACAGAAAGAAACAATTGTCAAAGGGAAAACGCACAGCTGTAGGGAACAACAACAACATTTCAAAGATAGCTGAAATCTGTACCTCAAACTTCATGAACATCGACCTGAGTTCATGGGACACATTCACTGTTGGAGCACACAAGCTGGCGTGACAGACTCACTGTTGGAGCACACAAGCTGACGGGACAGACTCACTGTTGGAGCACACAAGCTGGCGGGACAGACTCACTGTTGGAGCACACAAGCTGGCGTGACAGACTCACTGTTGGAGACAAGCTGGCGGGACAGACTCACTGTTGGAGCACACAAGCTGGCGTGACAGACTCACTGTTGAAGACAACCTGGCGGGACAGACTCACTTTTGGACCACACAAGCTGGCGGGACAGACTCACTTTTGGAGCACGCTGTTCAGAGAGTAAACTTACTGCTACACCCCACAGAAATCGCCCAGCAAGGAAGAGCCAAACGCCCTCCAATATCACCAGGGCCCAAAAACTCGTTTTTTCTACATACATGAGAGAGCTTTCAGACAATCAGTTGCACGCTGTCCGCCTAGTCACCATCAAATTTAGCCTTGGTCATTTTCGATTTCGAAGAATGAAAGACAACTCAACTATCATTGACTCACTCATCTCATTCAGGTGTCGCAAGCCTCAAAGAACTGTGGCTCCCTCATACAGATCTCACATCATTACACCCATATCTGACCTATTGCTTACCGCATGTCAACAAGACTTCCATGGCCTGAATGTTCCCATGCTTCGCGGCCATCGCTAATGCAGACATGCCGTCTCTGCTGTGGACGTTTGGATCAGCACCTGCCTCCAGGAGTGTGTGTACAACAGCCATGTTGCAGTGTGACGTCGACACGGAGCTGACCAACGGCGTCAGGCCACAGCGACACTTGCCATTCACGTCTGCTCCGGATTCTATCAAATATTTTAAAAACTTCACGTCAGCGTCTCTCGTGAACAGCGCATCGTGCACGCAACGTTCCAAGTTCAGGGAGAAGACGACTCCGGACCCGTTGGCCTTCGGTTGCCCGTGTAGGCTCCAGGCGTTGTGCAAGGTCTCCAACAAAATCTGCCAGTAGTCGATGTGGTCTTTTCGACGGCTGTTGTTGAACAGGGTCAGCACCACCTCAAAGTGGCCGCGGCTGCAGGCGGCGTGGAGAGCCAGGCTCTGGAAGATGAACTCCTCCAGGCTGGCCTCCGACGGGACTTCACGGGGCCAGTAGTCAACGCTTGCCCCTACCTGCAAGAGCTGCGTGACTTTGTGGAGGTTGCCGTATTGCGAGGCTACCACCAGGTCATCGCTGAGTCGACTTCTTTGGCTGGACACCATTGGTTTTTTCTCCTTCATGCTGTACATGGTGTCAGTAGGTGTTCATTCTAGAAGGAGAGATAGAGATGTGATGGAATGAAAGTAATGGTTATTCCAATGAATCGCTACATAACACCACTTCAACCATGTTCAAGACGTCTGTTTTCATGGACTCGCTGTACTGCGCCTGTTTTCATGGACTCTCTGTAAGGGAACTAAAATTTGTTCCTTAACGTATTTGGAGAACATTTTAATCTCCCAATGTTTGGCTGATTCTTGCTTTGCCGAATGATATTGTTCAAATCTTGCTAAATATATGTACCGGCTGTTCAAATATTGCTAAATTTATGTGCCGGTTGTTTAAATCTTGCTAAATATATGTGTTGGTTGTTCAAATCTTTCTAAATATATGTGCCGGTTGTTCAAATCTTGCTAAATATATGTGCCGGCTGTTCAAATATTGCTAAATTTATTTGCCGGTTGTTCAAATCTTGCTAAATATATGTGCCGGTTGTTCAAATCTTGCTAAATATATGTGCCAATAGTTCAAATCTTCGTAATTATATTTCCGGTAGTCAAATCGTTTAAGCTCTATGTACTGTATACCTCTATATACTGTATGCTTTTACCTCTATGTACTGTATACCCATATGTACTGTATGTCCCTATGCACTGTCTACCCCTATGTACTGTATATCCCGATGTACTTTAGAAATATCAACAAAGACGTATTGAAGTGACGCAGTCAGTATGATGCACCACTGCACTCTGCTCTTACATGAAGAAACCGCTTCACTGATGCCCAGCGACGTGTACAATAATCGGTGTGTACAGATATGTGCAGTGTGTACTCCACTGACAATATGACGTATTGCGAACACGTCAGTCACAACACGGATGCCATCCATCTATAGGAGCCCAGCCGTGTTAAACTGTAGTAAATGGCGCCCCTCTTTCTGTTCGTTCAATACACAGTGTCAGTTTTAGAGAGATCCAACAATGTGTCACCTTGAATACTATGTCGACAACAATGATGCTATGGTATATGTTGTTCTTTTAGATCCATCTTAATTATATTCGGTTTGGGTATCGGAAAAATGTATATGCTCCGAATAAACTTACTTAGAGATGACGCTCCTAAATTTATGTTAGCCGTTTCATAGATAAAACCTAAATTTATGTTATCATTTTCGTAAATTAAATTAAACCTACATTTTTTTATATGTAAATGAATGTCGTCGGCTGTGTTGGTTGAATTGAGTTATCGACCTTTCTTGTGTTTATGTATATATAAAAATCTATGTAAGCCTAAATGGACTTATCTAAATGAAATGTCTATATTAATGTACACTGTCGGCTTGTAGGGTATCTAAGGGTATTATAAGGTATTAGTCTCGAAGGTACTCTTGATTAAATACTAACGAACGAAATCTTTGAACACACAAAACAAGAAACAAGTTGAGTGAATAGACCAAGTTACCTGCTTGCTGGGACGTCCTCCGGTGTGACATAGCACACATGTACCTAACACAGCTCGGCCCTCTTCTAGTCAATGGCGAGTAGTTCTCAAATAGTTCACCGCGCCATTCGTACAACAACGTCTGTTGGTACTGAGGCTGGGGTCTACGCTCAGCGCCGGAACGTATTAAGCCAGTAAGAAGGGACCCGCAGATTTAAGCGCCCCCCCCCCCACCAACACACACTCCTCGAATCGAAATGTTCAGTGCAATTACAAATATGGGAACAATCTGGCTTCCATGATTCTATAGACATGGTTAGTTTTATTAAGTGTATTTAGAGAAGTAGTTTAATGTTTTAGATGAATTGCGAAAATGACATACGCTCATTCTGACACCATTCTGACCTCATTGGCTAGCAAACTACTTGGGGTGGCCAACAAACTACTAGGGGTGGCCAGTACATACTATTTACCCTAAATTGATTAGTTGAAAAGCCACAAAGCAATAAATATCAACCATTATCTCCAGCCCCCAACACATAAAGTTCGAGAACCACTGCGTTGGCCTCGTTTTTAGCTTCAGGTAAGTTGTTAAAAAATTTTTGGGAGCGATTACCGTGACGGACTTCATTAATGGACCAGGTTCTTTTTTTTTCTGAGTCCCCCAGACGTGACGTTGTGCCCTGTCCTTCCTGGCAGCCGTCAAATGGAGTTGTCTATGTCATTCAATATTCAAAGTTTCTTCTATCGATGACTGGCTTATTCATATGATATAGTATGACAATTGGAAATAATATATGCTTTATAAATCCACTTTTTACAGCTTGGTCGCTCCTCCCCCCCCTCTATCTCTCCCTCCCCCCCTCTCTCTCTCATCCCATTCTCCCCTTATATCCTTAGTGAATTGCTCCCATAGTTGAAGGTAATATTTCCTGTTGAATGAATGTTTGGAGGTCGAGACTGGGCATGAAAAAAGATCCTTAATCATTTTATTTTATGCGTGTGCTTATCTGGAGGGAGCTGCGTTCTGGAGGGACTTTGTGTGTATGAGGGCGTGAGTTCTGAAGGGGTAGTGTATGAGGGCGTGAGTTCTGAAGGGGTAGTGTATGAGGGCGTGAGTTCTGAAGGGGTAGTGTATGAGGGCGTGAGTTCTGAAGGGGTAGTGTATGAGGGTCGTGAGTTCTGAAGGGGTAGTGTATGAGGGTCGTGAGTTCTGAAGGGGTAGTGTATGAGGGTCGTGAGTTCTGAAGGGGTAGTGTATGAGGGCGTGAGTTCTGAAGGGGTAAAACGTGCTGAGGGCGTGGTTTCTAGAGAGGTTGAGGTGGTTGATAGTGAGGCATATTTCCCGGTGGCTAAATTTAGTCCATTCCACGCGTACGAGTGCACGGTGAAGAGCTTTCATTTTCAGCGTCTTGTCTTCCGAGTTATGCATTTTTAATAAATAACACAAATTCCTCTCTTTAACTGGAGTTGAAATATTACTCCCCCCCCCCAGCCCCAACCCAAATAGCGTAATGTCGGGCCTCGAAGCGGCACGCCGGAAGCACTCCGCCACTGAGACAGCCCTTCCACCGTCCACTATTGACCAGGCAAATGGGGCAACCTTTTTGATTGATGACACTATTTTTTTCAAATTATATTTTGCTAAAAAAATAGTTTTGAAGCCACATGTCATACTACTATTATTTATAGCTAGTCCGGTCGTCTGTCGCAATTCATTACAGCAAAGTCAAATATTTAACGGCGTTGGCTCCTTCAGCTATACCAAGCCACGCAAAATATTTAATTTATCCTGAATTCATGTGCTGTCTATCAGTTCCTACCATTCGTGCCGTCTATCAGTTCCTTCAATTCGTGCCGTCTATTCGTTGCTTCCATTCATGCCGTCTATCAGTTCCTTCCATTCATGCCGTCTATCAGTTCCTTCCATTCATGCCGTCTATCAGTTCCTTCCATTCGTGCCGTCTATTCGTTCCTTCCATTCGTGCCGTCTATTCGTTCATTCCATTCGTGCCGTCTATTCGTTCCTTCCATTCATGCCGTCTATCAGTTCTTCCATTCGTGTCGTCAATTCGTTCCTTCCATTCATGCCGTCTATCAGTTCCTTCCCTTCGTGATGTCTATTCGTTCCTTCCATTCATGCCGTCTATCAGTTCTTCCATTCGTGTCGTCAATTCGTTCCTTCCATTCATGCCGTCTATCAGTTCTTCCATTCGTGTCGTCAATTCGTTCCTTCCACTCATGCCGTCTATCAGTCCCTTCCCTTCGTGACGTCTATTCGTTCCTTCCATTCATGCCGTCTATCAGTTCCTTCCCTTCGTGGTGTCTATTCGTTCCTTCCATTCATGCCGTCTATCAGTTCCTTCCCTTCGTGATGTCTATTCGTTCCTTCCATTCATGCCGTCTATCAGTTCCTTCCCTTCGTGCTGTCTATTCGTTCTTTTCCACAAGGCCCTATCAAACATCTTCTGTAAGCAAACCTCACTTGACCGTGTAATACCGTACTCTTTTAGATCAACTACTGGAGACCTGGGGAGAGTATGGACTCATCTAACGTCTACTGTAATGAGGACTGTGGCTCGGCTCTGCTGGTTGGACTCCTGCCCAGGGCCCACTACTGGGTCAATGTCCAAGTCTTTACTACCGCCGGCATGGGAACGGTCAGCGAGGACTTCTTTGGTAGGACTTATTACAGTGGTGAGTATCACTGCTTTTACCTTGGGTAGGACTTATTACAGTGGTGAGTATCAGTGCTTTTACTTTAGTAGAACTTTTTACAGTGGTCAGTATCAGAGGTGTTACTTTAGTAGGACTTATTACAGTGCTGAGTGTCAGTGCTTTTACTTTGGTAGGACTTATTACAGTGCTGAGTATCAGTGATTTTACTTTTGTAGGACTTATTAAAGTGGTGAGTATCAGTGCTTTTACTTTGGTAGGACTTTTTACAGTGCGGAGCATCAGTGCTTTTACTTTGGTAGGACTTATTACAGTGCTGAGTATCAGTGCTTTTAATTTTGTAGGACTTATTACAGTGATGAGTATCACTGCTTTTACCTTGGTAGGACTTATTACAGTGGTGAGTATCACTGCTTTTACTTTAGTAGGACTTTTTATTTACAGTGGTGAGTATCAGTGCTTTTACTTTAGTAGGACTTATTACAGTGCTGAGTGTCAGTGCTTTTACTTTGGTAGGACTTATTACAGTGGTGAGTATCACTGCTTTTACCTTGGTAGGACTTATTACAGTGGTACGTATCACTGCTTTTACTTTAGTAGGACTTTTTACAGTGGTGAGTATCAGTGCTTTTACTTTAGTAGGACTTATTACAGTGCTGAGTGTCAGTACTTTTACTTTGGTAGGACTTATTACAGTGGTATCAGTCCTTTTACCTGGTATGACTTATTACAGTGGTGAGTATCACTGCTTTTACCTTGGTAGGACTTATTACGGTGGTGAGTATCACTTCTTTTAATTTGGTAGGACTTATTACAGTGGTATCAGTGCTTTTTCTTGTATTCGAAGGGTTTTAGATGAACCATTGTTGGATGTACATTACGTGTGTTACAAATACAATATGTTGGCCGATAGTAATCCACAGTTTGTATCCATGTCAGCCAATTTTTTTGACCAATAGTATCTCAGAATTGGTATCCATGTCAACCAATATGTTGATCAATAGTAATCCACAGTTTGTACCCATGTCAGCCAATTCTTTTGGCCAATAGTAATCCACAGTTTGTATCCATGTCAGCTCCGCTGTTGTATCCAGAGTTTGTCACCGTCAGATCATACAGTAGCACAGCCGTGTTTGTTCACTGGAGGGGCGTGTCTACAACCCAGAAGGAGGAGCCACTTCTTGGTTACAAGGTAAGTGGTGGTCAACAATGTATCCTTTGACAAAAATAGGCTTTTTGGTATTTCAAGAACAGAGGTCATGCGAACTATCAGATGTAGTGTTTCATAAACTATCGTGGTTATTATAACAGAAAGTTTCGTGGGTAGTATCATGAGTTGGTTGTGAGCACTATCATGAATCGCGGGAAGTATCATTGGCTGGGCCATGGCGCCCTCTTCCCATAAAATTAATGAAAAAATGACGATTTTGCGCCCTCTGAAGATGGCGCCCGGGCGGGTGACCACTTCGCACGGCCCAGATGATGGGTACTAGTACTATCATTATCATGTTTAGTATCGTGGATAGTATCATTGGTACCAGTAATGCCATAGGTACTATAATAGGTTCTATAATTTTCAGTATTCTTTGTGCAAATATGTAACGAAAAAGATATGTAAAAAATAAAAAAATTTGCTCGCATCTATTCCATAGTTACAAAGATAGATAAAAAGTTGGAGAAATTGTTTATGTTTAAGAGCATCTTATCAGGACATGGCATCCGTTCTAAAGGGTTCAAACTAACAACACTGCCCATTACATTTGTGGATACTGATGAGCTCTGTTGATAGTTAGTGCTTTAATGGCTTCATTGTAGTATTGTAGTGTGACTCAAAAGATCACGTGACTTAATTGAACCGGAAGCAATTCAATCAGTTATTTTGCAAACGTTTTTCTTCACAAAAGATTCGCTGGTGGCCGTCCACGGAAGACATCAAGACGGCCAATGTGACGGTCGTGGGAGACAGGATGACACGCACTGTCTTACACGGCATAGGCGTGGGCACGGTCTACTCGCTCAGGGTCATGGGCTACAGCAGGGGCGGAGAAGGAAAGAACAGTCCCACTGTTTACTTCACACTCGGTAGGTCATTCTATTTACTCTACACTCGGTAGGCCATTCCATTTAGACCTACTTAACACTTGGTAGATCATTGTTTATTCTACCCTTGGTAGGTCACTATTATGTTTTACTCTATATCTGGTAGATCATTATTATGTGTGGTAGGTCATTCTATTTACATTACACTTAGTAGTTCATTCTGTTTACTTTACACTAGGTCTTGGTATGTCATTATGTTTACTTTACACTAGGTCTTAGTATGTCATTCTGTTTACTTTACACTAGGTCTTGGTATGTCATTATGTTTGCTTTACATTTGTTAAGTCATTCACACTTCTGGTATAATTTAAATTAAATTTGCATTAGGTCATAGGTAGACAGTGTTTACTTTACACTAGGACTACATCAGATAGGTCATTCTTTCTGTAATATTTCTACTTGGTTGGTTTGGAATTATTTCAGTCTTAGTTCCATACTGTTAACACTAGTCATTTCTGTTGCACTTTGTTTTAAATAGACATTTAAAATTAAGTTTTAAATTTAAGATTACTTTGAAGTAAAATTTGAGGGGGGAAAAAATTGCTAATTTGTGTGATAGATTTTGTTTCTTCCTTGTAATTATTTGAACCCACTGTTTCCAGAGGGTCAAGTTGTTTACAACCCTGTCACAACAGAGATCATGAACTCCTCTCCAGGGATCTTGGCCAATAGTTTACTTATGGTTGTGACCTTTGGACTGACCTGTCGCACAAATTTCTGGTTGTAGCAAGTTTTCATTCATTTCCAGTTTTTTTTTTTCTGTTTCGAATTTAATCTTTGAAAAAAATCCTGTTTGCATGAAATAAATTAATGTGCTGTAACTGAGCAACAGCTGTTCAATGAAAACTAAAGGGTAGATAACTGTGCACAGTTCAATATCTCCATGAAGGTTAAAAGCCCCCCCCCCCTCCCCAACTACATTAAATGGTATACTCATGGCATCAAAGGAATATTAGAGATAAACAAAGACACCTGATCAAATCACCTGTTAACTTATCCCAATCTGTCTCACGCTGCTGTGAACCAAGGGCCTGCACTCTTTGTCATCACTTGGCAGTGGTGCACCAGTTTTTTTATGGCCATGACCCACTTGGGGGATTTGGTTATTATGTCACCATTAAAATAATAATTAGTCATTCTGACCCTTTTAGTCAAGCAAGCTGACTTTGGGAGGCCGTAAACCAAAAAAAGATTATAAAGTTAGTGGGTGCCATTTTATCATATTTCATGTCTTATGATATCATCCATTTCATGTCTTATGATATCATCCATTTCATGTCTATGATATCATCCATTTCATGTCTTCTCACCAAACACACATTCTTGCTGAAAATAACTTTCTTGAACTCCATTTTTGTAATTATTAAAAAGCCAAAAGAAGCTTTAAATACTTAATGTGACTTTTTTTTGGTCATGTAAATTATAATCTTATATAAATAACTTCTCCCAAGTCTTCTTATCTAATTTTGGTTACCTGTTGTTACATAAGTTACCTGTACATGGCTTGAAAGTTTAAGCCTTTCATGTTGGAGACGGGCTCATAACCAAAACATACATTTTTCTTGGAAAGAGGTTCTCAAGTCAACAGAAATGAAATCCAAATTGTTTTGATCAAATATTGTTTGCAATTAAAAATCCCATATTAATGTGAACTGTCATGTTTATATTTTCATGAATATTTTATAAAGATAAAAAGTGCATTGAAAAAAAAATTTAATTGCAAATATAAACTAATTTAGTTTACTTCCCACAGTTACATTTTTTAGTGACAGTTCACATAAACTTAATGCTTGCATTGATGACTGCCTGTAGCTTGATGTTGTCAGTCCACCCAATGCTTGCATGGCTTGTATTGTCACATTTTCAATGGTCAATTGATCTCCGTTTCTTCTTATCTTATGGAATTGTAAATATTTGAGTGGGATTTCCTGTAACGTATAGCAGGTTTCACAGGTGACATGTTATGGCAATAATTATGTGGAGATGTGACCAGATTGAAAATATTATTATTTTTTCATCGACTAACAGTCAGACTGTACAGTTCAAATATGTAGACTTCAAGAATCCTCCAATTCATGTGACCCGCTTCATTTATTTCAAGGAAACCTGAAAAAATTCTAAATGTCTGAAACATGAGCAGTTTCCAACATAAAACTAGTGACCAGTATCTGACATTATATTTATACCAGAGGCATGGTAACAGGCTTGGCTTTACTCATTTGTACACCCTTGGCCAAACCACATATTTCTTCTGTATTTCCCACCCTTCATGCCAAGTAAACTGCTTTGTGCATTATTTAAACTAAGAAACCTATCAATCAATGTCTCAGAAATTAAGCTATAATGAATAAGCTTATTATTACTTAACAAAAAACAAGAAATATGTAAATATCTTATTGTTTCAGCATTAAATAAATGACCCAAAAAAAAAAAAAAAAAAAAAAGGGGTTAGGAGGGGGGGGGGGGGGGGGGAGAAATCCTGTACAAATAAGGAACAGTTGTGTATTATGTAAATTGTATTAATGTAGATGGTTTTGAGCCCAGACCTCCATCACTGTGATAGTGATAAACTACTGAGTTTTAAACTTGTTTTGCTTTCCATTAGCATACACCATAACCGCTGATGGCAACATGTTTAACTACATGAAATAAATGCATTTATATTATTTCTATGAAATAAAAAAAAAGTTCAACACTATATGTTTCCTGTTTTTCATATCATTAATCATTTTAATAAATACCAACAGAAATTTAGATGGACTAAAAATGATATTTAGAACAGAAAAGTGTCAATATATTTCTCACACAATGATACATTGTGTACAAATCAAGTAATTAATTAATCATGGCTAGTAAGCGAGGAAATCTCAGTATAAAAAAAAAGTATTTTAATATTATTAACAAGAGATCCCATTACAGAACAAAATGCCACATCACCACCATGTAACCACAAGAACTACACTGAAGAAATTGTCTTTTTTTCTTAATTAATGATCTCTTCCACTCATCAATGTGATTGGAAAAAAATTACTTCAGATAACGTAACATAGCTGGCATATTTGACCATAACAAAAAAAATTATTGCCAAATTCAATTACAATTCACAATGGTTGATTAATCACCAATAATCAATTGTGATGTTAAACTGATTACCTAGTCCAGATGATTCACACACCTCCCTTTACAATGATGAGGCAGAGAGTTTAGACACAGCAATCAGGTAAGGTGGAGGGAAATATAAGTATTAGAAACAAGGGGAAAACCCGAAGCATGGTGCAACAAAACAACCCATGTGTCAGCAAGAAGCATCACCAGAGATCCTATCTCTTGCCGGTGGTTACGCACAAAGAGATCCTATAGATCTTATCTCTTGCCGACATATTCGCTGTCTTTTGTTCTTCAGGTTTTCCCCATACCTTGTTTAACATATTTCCGTCCTTTTAGCATATGTCATAAGGTGCAAATGTTGTAATGTAAGGGGCAGGAGTTGCTGGGCACGACGAAAACATAACATGATTGTAAAATAGATCATACAGAAAACATAGCTTATGACTGTTAAAAAGATCATACAGAAAACATAGCTTTTGACGGCTTTTGAAAAGATCATACAGGAAACAGCTTATGATGACTGTTAAAAAGATTATGTAATAATTTGAATGTAAAAGTCATAACTTTAATCATCATCATCCAAAATGGTGCGTTTCCTTTTCATTGCCGTTCTCAGTGTAATGTGGTCATTTTCATCATCCGAGTCCAAGCCCTGGGTCAGCAGAGTGGCCGGGAATGTGTCTACAATTAAAAAAGCTCTGATTACCAACATTTTAGGACTGGACAGGAAACTACCAAACTAAATCAATGCTCAATGTTTTCAAGCAATAAAATGGCAGTCACTGGTCACAACATTTTTTTGGTTAGGCCCTATAAGCACCAAATACGTGTCAGTGGCATGATTAGCACCAAATATGTGTCAGTGGCATGATTAGCACCAAATACGTGTCAGTGGCATGATTAGCACCAAATACGTGTTTATTAGACTAACCTGTCGAGTCTTTATTTAAGAGTTCACCTGGAGCCCCTGCAGGTGACTTGGTGTCTTTGTCTTCTTTGTCAGACTTTGATTCGTCCTCACTGCTGGAGAAATGGAGGGTAAAACTTTCCTCGGCCAGACCAGCCCGGAGATTTTCTGAGAGAGAATTAAAATCAAGGGACAGCTTTTAATTAAGTTCAGAAATATTAATTTAAAATATTTATATTTGGCACAACATACCCTGATCTCACCGAATTGAGAACCCATGCCACAATTCACCAATTGAACACAAACCACCTTACAAACGCTGGCAATATCAGCACATCGAAATCTGGGTAAGGTGGGCGTAATTCAGTTATGAGTAACAATTGTTCATAAGGGAGTGCACTCCTCTTCATTACAGCCCTTGAAAATGATCAGTAAAACTATTCAAATTTATGTACAGCAAGTCTGTTAAATACCGTAAGACAAATTTCAGAGGAGAAACTTTTACAGAAAATTAATCACAGAATAAATTTGTTCTAAAAAACAAAGCAAAAAGACTTATATGATTATGCCAGTGTAATTCTATAGCTGGAAATACTGAACTCAGCAGTCACAATACAATGAAAACATTGAAAAGAACAAACTTTTCATCACTCACCCTTATTACCAATGTCATCTGCGTCATTTTCATCATCGGAAGCAAGTATTCTAACCCTTTTCAAGCTTTTCTTTTCCCTAGTTGAGCCATGATCTAGTGCCTCTGCAGAGACTGTGTTGGGTTGGCTGCTGTGAACAGAAGACAACAATTGTTGGCGGCTTTTGTTATTTCTGTGACTTCAGTAGATGAAAGATATCTCATTAAAATGTTCAAATAACTCATTCAAATTCTGTGTGAGGCCATAAGCAGGTGAATAAAAAGGAGATAGGCATTGGCTCAAAATATTGCTGGTTAATGATCGTGTGTTCTTTTGAATATTTAAAAACAATTAGAACCAACACAGAAGAACCCACACAGAAGAATCTACACAGAAGAACCTACTGATACCAAGCTTACCTATTAAAGGAATGGGATTTAAACCAAAAATAATTTTAAAGACTTCATTGATTAATAATGTAACCAATACATTACTGTAAATACTGAGATAAACTAAAAAGATATTAAAAATGGTGTGCACAAAAAATATTTATTTATTCCCATTTGATTATGGTTAACTTATTCCATAAATAAATATAATTAAAACATTGGCTTATGAGCTTTGCGATGTTTTTTCAAGCATACTTTTCTGACGCATTAAACTCAAGAAGTCTAATACTAACATTTTAATCTTATTGAAAGCCACTTGACCAGCGACAAACTCAACATAACCTGATTGAAAGCCACTTGACCAGCCCAAAACTCAACATAATCTTATTGAAAGCTTCTTGATCAGTTTTGAGTATGGAAGGTCAATAATAATTGTTGCGACTGAATATTATATTTTAATATATTTCATTACACGCGGTGTTTGATTAAGAGTTCTATTAGTTAGTGAGCGCTCTTCCCGGCCTGACTCTGACATATTTTTATGCTGATTGTGAAGTATTGTCTAGACTGTATTAATTAATTGTGAGTTTTGTGGCGTAAATTCAGTTGTGCGGCAGTCGTGAATGGAACTTTGTGAAAGTAGGATGTGTTTTATTTCTGTCTGATAGAGAGCTGCGCTACATTCATGTGTGTATGGAGTTTAAAGGTTGTGTTAATTATAAGGTATTAAAGTTACATTTATTATGAAAAGGACTCGAGTTTATGCAATAATAGTACAACGTATTTCAACTTGTGAAAGAACTTGACGAATTAATCAATCCAGTAGAACATAGGAGTTGACAATCAGCCTCAATCTCAACATAATCTTATTGAATGCCACTTGACCAACCACAATCTCAACATAATCTTATTGAATGCCACTTGACCAACCACAATCTCAACATAATCTTATTGAATGCCACTTGACCAACCACAATCTCAACATAATCTTATTGAATGCCACTTGACCAACCACAATCTCAACATAATCTTATTGAATGCCACTTGACCAACCACAATCTCAACATAATCTTATTGAATGCCACTTGACCAACCACAATCTCAACATAATCTTATTGAATGCCACTTGACCAACCACAATCTCAACATGAAGCCAAAAAGTGTGTTCTTACCTGTCACTTTCAGAATCCAAATATCTCTTTTTGGCCCTTTTTGGTGCAGGCGGTGATTTGGATGGTTTACGGGATGATTTTGATGCATGACTAGATGACTTGTCACTGTTGCTGCCCAGATCTTCCTGTGGGTCAAGGTCATCAGGATCCATACTTGACAGGCTGCTGGTGTCACTTGGGCTAATTGAATACATTCATATTAAAAAATAAGTCAAAATAATTGTTATACATATATATATATATATATAATATATATACTTTTCAACTTGGAGAAACAAATTTTAAAACTCCCTTCACCTAAACATAACCGAGCCAAAGTCCATTTTTTGCCTGTCAAGATAGCAAATATAGTGTCATATGTGACCTTTTAAAGCAGTGGTTCACAACCTGTGGGTCACAACCCCTTTGGGGTCGCACTTCCCTTTCACAGGGGTCGTCTAAGACCATCGGAAAACACTTATACTCTACAGTTATGAAGTAGCAACAAAAATAATTGTGTGGTTGGGGTTCGCCACAACATGAGAAACTGTATTAAAAGGTCACGGTATTAAGAAGGCTGAGAACCACTGTTTTAAAGCATATCAATCTTCCAGATGGGGGTGAATTTTGATAGTAATATTCAAGATAGAGATACAAAGAGAGACAAGAGTGACACTGAAGACATAGAGCAGACTTCTTTTTTAATTGTTTGTCTTAAAATGTGTTGAGAATAACAAGTTTTCCAATTCAAATGTGTTTTTGTGAGTTCATAATAGAATAAAATGTATTTATTAAAAGGTCATTTTAAATCTTTGAACCGGATTTTCTCAAAATTGGTATTTTGTGATGTAATTTCTTTTAGCATTAAGCTATTCAATCTATTATTTGGCGAAGGCAAATACTTTAATTATGTTTGCAATATTGTTTCATTCCTTCTGAATATTCTGAAAAAATTCATTTTTGTAATTAAAAAACACCTACAGCAAACTACAAGACAAATAAATGAATTTCAAAGATTTCAGTTTTCTAAATGTACATGGCATTGAAATATTTGATTGTTTCAAGTAGTGGCCCTTTACATGAATGATGAAAGGGGGCCACATAAGTAAGATTGCTCAGCTCATCTCTGAAGTCATTGCCATAATTATGTTTTAAGCATGCTTTCACTTTCAATCAAGTCAATTAGAATTATTAATGCAGTGAGTCTGTTGTCCAAAGAGTAGCTTCATGAGGCAAACGCTGTTTGCTATGGATGCTGAGGGGCAAAAGCTGTTTGCTATGGATGCTGAGGGGCAAAAGCTGTTTGCTATGGACACTGAGGGGCAAAAGCTGTTTGCTATGGATGCTGAGGGGCAAAAGCTGTTTGCTATTGACACTGAGGGGCAAAGCTGTTTGCTATGGACACTGAGGGGCAAAAGCTGTTAGCTATGGACACTGAAGCATCAAGAATGACTGAACATGGAAAAGGCAAAATTCTCATCTCCTCATCAATTGTCGAGACCTACCTGTCTGAGTCAGATTGAATTTTATTTTTGACGGATATTTTCTTCTGGTTTTGTATTGGTGATTTAACTTTTTCGTGGTGCTCGGTTGATGTGTCTTCAGGAATGGTCTTTCCATTTATTCCCTTGATGTTCCTGATAAGAGAAAATGTCATTAAAAATACTAGGTGCTATAAATAGATGTATATCATTGTGTTACTATTTCTTCAATAAGACCTTTACCTTTACCATATACTGTCATGGAAGTTTACAAGAATTTAGTACAAACTATGATAAGGATAACATAGCATTCAAATATCAATTAGACTTTTACCATATACTGTCATGAAAGTTTACAAGATTTGAGTACAAACTATGATAAGGATATTATTACTATTATTATTACAGTGGTCTCATATCACCCCGTTAACCATAAAAATATTAGCAAGCATAATCATAGAATTAAAAAATTACATTTATTTAATTAAAAAACATCTATTTTACCATATTCTATCAATAAAATTTACAGATTTTAATGCACACTATGATACTCCTACATTCAAGTATAACTTGTTTTTAAAATTAATATTTTCATATAAACACAAGGGGGGAAAAAAAAGGATTAAATCCACTTACTCATCCTCCTCCTTTGTTTTGCCTTTTCTGTCTCTCCTTTCCTTTTGTTTCACTTTCATTCTGTTCAATGCTTCTCTGCGCTCCTCAGCAAACTTCTTGCCAGATTTCTTAAGTCCTCTCTTTTCTTGCCAAATTTTTTGTTGCTCCCTGGCTTCCAGTTCAGAATCTAAGCCTGAGTCGCTGTCACTGGTGTCACTAGCTTTCGCCAACCTCGGAATTTTCGGTACAAATGGGCTAGACACTTTAACCTTTTTGGAAGGCAAGCTCCCTGTGCTGTCATTGCCTGCTTTCCTGCCCTCTGTTTTCTTATTTCTTTCCTTAGATTTTTTACTGTCCTTGACCTTTTTTCTGTCGTTTTTTTTGGATGAAGAGGATGCGGACGAGGGCAAATGTGGAAATACTCGACCTACAATATTTTTTATTTCATCTGCGCCTGCAGCCTGGCCCGAGTCTGAGAGGTCAAGGGCATCTGCTATTTTACGCAAATCCCCAGGTGAAAACTCAGCTGGTATCCTCCAAAATATTTCCTAAAACAAGATTTTTCTTCTTCTTATAAATACGTGAATTCAAATGTAAAGAATTTCAATTTATCACTTAAATTATTTTACTGTGTATGACTGATAAACATTTAAATGTTTAACTACCCATTGTGTCAAGATTTACATCCCCTAGATCTAACAGCTGAATATTTGCCATCCGAATGTTTTGTTTAGTGTTTACATCACTTCTTGAGTCAGAATTATGATAAAAATGTTAACTTTATTCAGTCTAAGATACTGTCAAATATTTTTCAATCACTAATGGGAAAAGTGGTTTACTGTCTACAGCTGGGATGGCTCACAGGCTATGTGCTGCCCCACATAACCATTTAATCTGGCCCACAAAAAATTTTGAACTGGATTGTTTTTTGTAAAATATATAAATTGTAGAGTCTAAGTAAAAGCCTTTGAAAAATTAATAATCAAAGAGAAATATGATCCTTCACTGATGCATATATTAAATGATCCCTGAAAAATCTGGCAGAGCCAGCAAGCCAATTGATTTCGTAAGCTGTGGAATACATCGTCTAAAAATAGTAGCACAATGTTTAAAAGCTCTGTTCCTCAGTACATGGTAGGATTATCACTCTGGGGTCCTATTTATGTGATCCACCAAAAATGTCCATGGGGCACTCTACCCACTGGTGCTCTACAGCATCACATTTATCTCGTTAATAACCATGATTTGATATTTTCCTGAAATGACTTACCTGTTCTCCTGCAGGTGGTGTGATTCCAATAGATCGCAGGAAGTTCAAAAATACTTGATCCTCCATAGCGCCTTCATTATCTTCTGTCAGTGGTACTATTGGTGTTGGAACACAGACTGGAAAACATTACAACAAAATATATGGGAAACAGATTCAAATATTTTGGAAAAAACAGATTCAAACATATGGGAAACAACAGATTCAAACATATGGGAAACAACAGATTCAAACATATGAGAAACAACATATTCAAACATGGGAAACAACAGATTCAAACATATGGGAAACAACAAATTCAAACATATGGGAAACAACAAATTCAAACATATGGGAAACAACAGATTCAAACATATTGGAAAAAACAGATTCAAACATATTGGAAAAAACAGATTCAAACATATGGGAAACAACAGATTCAAACACATGGGAAACAACAGATTCAAACATTTGGGAAACACTATAATAAAACACATAGGAAACCTTATACCAAAATATATATATCAGCTCCCACAGAGTAATTGACCTCAGAAAAAAAGGTGTCAAAGAATTGGCAACCGGAGCTACTGTGACCGATACCACGGTAGGTGTAGGCATTGTGACTGATACTACGGCGGGTGGAGCTATTGTGACAGACACCACGGCAGGTGGCGCTATTGTGACAGACACCACAGCAGGTGGAGCTATGTGACTAATACCACGTCAGGTGGAGCTATTGTGACGAGACCAAGGCAGAGGGTGTGTGATACCATCTATCAGTTTTAACTGGACATACCTCCTTCCTCCCTGTCCTCTGCTGTATTCCTCAAACTTCTTTGTATCCAAGCCAACTGGTTTCTGTAGCCTGCAATAAAAAAAAATGTTCTTAGTTATGTAAGGGACACGAATCTTTTCCCTGTTTATTATTCAATACAAATATTTACACACTAAAAAAATGTATAATTTAACAAAGTTCCAGGAATTTAAAATACCGTAATGTAAATGGAGGTATTCTATATTAAAACATGGTTAAGATTTTGCAATGAAGACTTGGACTTGGACCAAAGTATAAAGGGAGGCAAGTAACTTTTGTCTTGGTGTCCGAAGGAACATTTAGACTAATTAAAAAAAAGTTTTAACATCTACATCAGCCCCATTATGTAAAGTGTGACGTCATCTACATCTTCCTCTGAAGTCACACATCTGAATGAGAACTAATAAGTCCCCGATTTTGCTAAGAGAACTCACTGAATGGCTGTTTGAAATAATTTATTATAAATGTCTTGTGTTCAAATTGTTTCATTTTGTGCTGAAAATGTATAAGGCAATCAAAAAACATTTCCATTTATTTGGATCAATAAAAGAATCTTATCTTATCTTATCAGCCCCCCTTTGTAATGTGTGATGAAGAGTACAAGACTTTCAGAGAAAATTGTTCAATAAAATAGTGAAAGGATTATATAATTTTTTTGCTATGGCTTTTTGTTCTATAAAAAATCTGCTTCAATCAATTGTAGGGATAGTTCAATTACCATGCCTTGATTGATACATCAGCTTTAAAATCATATCCAAATATAAGATTATTTAATTATTACATCAGCTTTGAAATCATAACCAAAGATAAGATTATTTTCTTATTGCATCAGTTCTGAAATCATATCCAAAGATAAGCTTTTTTAATTATTACATCAGCTCTAAAATCAATATAAATACCCAAAGATAAGATTATTGCAATGAGAAAAACAGCTTGATATAAAGACAAAAGGTCAAAGTTTTCTTCTTCACCTTTCTCAACAATTGTATTCACGTTATCCCCAACTGTAGAGGCAGCCTGTCTGACAAGAGGCTCCACGGACTCATCAATGTTGTCATTCTCACTGTCATGATCACTTCTGTCATCGTCACTGCTGTCACCACCATCAGTGGAACTTGCTTGTCCTCTAACTTTAATTCCAATTATCAAATATATTTAACATCAATTTAAATATTTTAAATATTAAAGACCAATGCATAAAATGGCCAAATACTATCACCAACAAAGATCTACTAGAAAGGACATACAAGGTGCCCAATGATGAAGATATCATAAAGAAAAGATGGAGATGGATAGGGGGCATATGCTCCAAACACCCCCAGATAGTATCACCAGACAATGCCTAACATGGAACCCACAGGGACAAAGAAAGAGAGGAAGGCCTAAGAATACATGGAGATGTGAGCTAGAGGCAGACACACAAAATATGGGATACACCTGGAAGCAATTGGAAAGGAAAGCACAGGACCGTGATGAGTGGAAAGTTCTTGTGGACGGCCTATGCCCAAGACGGGGTAAAAAGGCATAAGTAAGGAAGTAAGTATGCATAAAATACATCTTAAAATTTGAATACTGTAATACTACTGAATGTGTAATATATTTTTTTGATACTACAGAATGTGTAATATATTTTTTAATACTACAGAATGTGTAATATATTGTTTAATACTACAGAATGTTCCATACATTTTTCATACAGATTTTGAAGTAACAAAAATATATTTTTTAAATACAACAACCATAGGAAATCTTTAATATTCTGAATACAAAAAATTACATAAGAAGATTACATCAAAAGTCAAGACATTTCTTAGAGAACTCATACCGTTGGGACTGGATGGAGGAAACAGCATCTCTCCCTCCTCGTCGTCCTCACCCTCATCATGTTTACGACGCCTCCTGCCTGATTTTTTCTTCATCAATTCATTTTTATCATCCACCAAGTTCAGCTCTAATATTTTGTCGATGACTGACTTTCGGGATTTATCCAATGTGCTGGACTTCATGATATCTGAGATTGGGTCTGTGAAAGAACAATACAGTAAGCAGGGGATTTTTTTCCCGTTCAATAATTATATTAGATCATCATGTAATTAAAATCTTTCTTCAAAATCTGAGAGTTATATAGAGTATACATAACATTACAAGCCCATTTGATTTAATACATATACATTAAGGGGTCTCAAACTCAAATTATCCAGGGGTCTCAAACTCAAATTATCTGAGGGTATCAAATTCTACTCAGCAGAGTCTGAGTAGACTGGGCCGCATCAAGTATTCCACAAAAAAGTGATGACAAATTCAATAAAGTGCAACTGTTACAATCTGCTGAACCTTCATTAATAATAAATAAAAACATTAAGGGTTCTCAAGAACTAGGCTTTACTTTCTTCCTCCCACTCTTTGTTGCCAGAAACCTGGCAGCGCTTCTTCTTACACAGCTGAGCAACATTTGGCTTGAGTGAGGAAGCAACTGAGACATTCAGTATAGCTTGAAGATGCTCATTAGTATGTGTTGGCCCTGAAATTTTGACTTGTTAAAGTTCATAGTGGAAAAGAGCTTTTCACATAGACAGTTCTCCCATATAGTCATATGGTCCGCCTGAACAACCTGGAAATCTCAGGGAAGGTGGAGGGCAATCCTCTCATAAATTGTCCATGCTTGTCTGTTTTTCCATTCACCTCCCTGAACTTAGCCTTGAAATCAGAATTGCACTGAAGATCAATCAGCTCAATTTGAAGGGGAAAAAAAAAAAAGAGGGGGGTGGGGGGAAATCTTCCACATTGAAGGAGAAAGGGTCAGCAAAAATTTGAAAAGTGTCTGTGTGTATGCAAACATGTGATTAAATTCTTTCTGTAACTTTGCAACGGCATCAGTATACTTACTACTGAATGGTGCCAGAGTCCATGAGTACCGGTACTTTGCATTTTGGGAAAAGGCAGAGGTTTCTCTGAGAAAGCTGGGCTTTCCATAACACAAGTTTTGTGCAGAATGCCCTGACATTGTCATAGGCAACACTGACAAGCTGCCCCTGGCCTTGTAACTTCTTGGTGAGGACATTCAGCTCCTGTGTAATGTCAACTAGAAAAGCCAAGTCCATGAGCCATCTGGGATCACTTAGTACAGGAACAACTACCCCATCCTTCTCCATGAAGATTATGAAGGCTTTAAAGACTACAACGTGTTCAAACAGTAGGCAGGAGCAGGCAATACAACTGATGTGAAGGAAGACGCAATTGTAGGGAGAATGAATTTTGATTTTTTTATCATAGAAAAGGCCTTTTTGACTTACACTATTTTGAAAGTGATCAAGCTGACAGGCTCTGAATTTCCCTCACTCATAAACACTAGTGGCAATTTTGATACAGATTCTTTGCTTTGATACTGTGTCAGATTGCAAGGATTTACACAATTATGCTTGTGCATTACCCACTAACTGACTTTTTAAACTTTTCTCAAAACCGCACTTTGGCCGCCATGTTTGTCTCATAAAATGCTTTAAAATAAAAACTTTAAGTTCGATTTTAAAATGGTTTTTACCATTGTAATCAACGTCCAAACCTTAATAAACATAATAAAATCAGAATTAGACTAGTCGGTGATTGTCATGGAGGGTCACATTATAGATATGACAATGAGGAAAACGCACTGGCCGTGAGTTTGAGACCCCTGATATACTTGGTAATTTAGATATTTTTGTTTGAACAAGTAAATTCAATCATGACCTCCAACCAGATCTTAAAATGTCAAGGGCGAAACTTTTTTTGGAGTGACTGAAAATTTAATTCAGCCCCCACCTCTGTCCCCTATTTCTAATATGAAATTATTAAACAGAGAGTTGCATAAAACATCAACACGAGGCATATGAGCAAGCAGCTGATTAAATTTTCACAGGTGAACAGCACACATCAAATCCACTATGAGGTTGTTTATTTATAAAAATTTAGTAAAAACTAATTATGTTATTACTTGAGAAACAAATACGAAATAGATGATGTTAAAATTTCTGGTGTGCGAATACGGGGATTGAATACACAAAATCTTGACATGATCAGAGGCAGCCGAATAATTTAGCTGATGTACTACTAATTTAGCCGATGTATCGTCATTGAATTTCTTGGGTTAAATGCATCCAGAGTTAGTAGTTGAAGTTTTCAAAGGAAACGGTGGGTCTCTTTGTTTCGGACATCAATTTTAAGTGCAATTATTTCAGAATAAGTAAACTGAGGAGAGGGTAAACTTTAAAAGATTAAAATGTTTAACTCGACTAAACTGTGAAACAAAATTTTAAATCTCTGGGATTAGCTGAATTCCAAGAAAAAATGATTACTTGTTTATAAATAATATTATATTGGTCTCATTGCTATACCATCTTAAGTGAACGTTTATTGTATAGTGCATACTTAAAGACTAATTAAAAACTATTTTTTTTACACACCGGTAAAGTTAAAGACAGGATGAGATTAAAAACAGGAATAGGTTAAAAATGGTAATGCTCAACAGAGGGCAAAGGTCACATAATTTTCCACAGCCACAGGACAAAAGTTCTGTAGAAATAGGTTAAAAGGAAACAACCAGCCTCATGTCAACAAGTAAAGTAGCAAAACAATCGCCACTGGAAAATAAGTGGGAGAACAAGACTGGTGATTACTCACAATTCGAGTCTTTGTGTTCTTGAAACAGAGCTCGGAGAGAGTCAACTTCTTCTTCAGTCCAATTTTTCCTTTAAAACAGACACAATAAAAAAAAAAAAGATTGTTTTCATAGTTGCTCCTTGAATCATGTTGAATATTTTTTCTTCTAAAAATTAAGGTGCTTAATTGTGCTAATCTGAATACAAATAAATACTTTAGCAACTAAATCTTGTTATTTTTGAAGTTTGTTGGCCAATTACAAAGTCTTCAAGTTGTAATACAATGAAAAGGTTGGAACAAACATTTTCACCTATTTATTCATAATAATATCATATATTACAATCAGCGGAGTATATCTATAGCTGGTGGTTCTTGACGTTGCCGACCCTGTTTCACAAGACATACGCAATACACAAATATCAGCCATAGGTTCTTGACATTGCCGACCCTCATTTACGAGACTTACGCAATACACAAGCATCAGCCATATCTATTGACAATGAAGTGGACAGAAAATAGCGACACCAAAAAAATTGCTGTCAAGGTCACCCCCCACCCCTCCCTTTTCTATGCTCATGATTAAAATTAGGCAATTTCCTTCACATCCTCTTCATCTGTGGATAAATCTGTATAAACTCAGTGGATAAATCTGTATAAACTCAGTGGATAAATCTATATAAACTCAGTGGATAAATCTGTATAAACTCAGTGGATAAATAAAAATATTCTCCATTATCAAAAAGTGTGTGAATGCTAGTTGTGTGGGAAGGAAGCATTGAATGATAGTGTGAGGGAAGGAAGCATTGAATGATAGTGTGTGGGAAGGAAGCATTGAATGATAGTGTGTGGGAAGGAAGCATTGAATGATAGTGTGTGGGAAGGAAGCATTGAATGAGTGTGTGGGAAGGAGGCATTGACCGATAGTGAGTGTGGGAAGGTACCACTGAATGATAGTGTGTGTGGGAAGGAGCCACTGAATGATGAATGTGATCAGCTACTTCACTTAAATGATACAGATCCAAAAAATGGATCACAAGCAAGGAACAAAATACAGAAATGGGAAAATGGAAGCCATAAATAGGTGAGAAACTGCATGTTAACGAGACACTGCATGTTAACGAGACACTGCATGTTAACAAGACACTGCATGTTAACAAGACACTGCATGTTAACGAGACACGGCATGTTAACGAGACACGGCAAGTTAACGAGACACGGCATGTTAACGAGACACTGCCTGTTAACGAGACACGGCATGTTAACAACGAGACACTGCATGTTAATGTTCTCTTTGGCGAGGTCATAAGAAGATTCTTCATCTCAATAGAGCGTACCATATCCTTATTAACTGTTATTAACACTAAGAGAATGCTTTCAACATTAAGCTCAAAGCTTACATTATGCTTTCAAAACACATTAAAAAAAACAGAGAGCTATTTGTACATAAACAAATTAAAATGCTGTAAATGGGTTATTGAATGCCAGGTTCCTATATTTTCAATGTGCAATCTTTACATTTAAAAAAAATGTTTCATTTCTTATTATAATAAAAAAAATATTTTAAGAAATAATTTTTAAAAACTTAACGCACATTGTCATACTATTCAAGTTTAAAAAAAATAAAAAAATTTGATAAACGATTAATAAAGTAACTTATTTATTATGTATTGCGGTCATGGGTGAGTTGCAAACATTAATCTTTTTAATTTAAATAGATCTATTTCACCTGTAAACTTTCTTTGTTAAGTCTTTAGCACTCGTAATTAGTCCCTGTCGTTTCAGCTCTTTAAGAATTTGAAGTCTCGTATGCGATGAAGTTAATTCCTTGAGGATGAGGTCAGCTGTGTCCATTTCTGTTCAAGCATCAAGAAAAGTTAAGTCAGCCCATAATTACAGCTGGAACAACACTGAGAAGAAACTATAATCCCCTAAGAATAAGGCTTGTTCAAGCTACCAATAAAAGGTAGTCTCCATAGAATTTGGTCTGGCTAATATGAAATACCTATGAAATTTAGTCCTCTAAAACTTTGATCAGCCCAATCTCCATATGAAATATTGTCCCCAAAGAATTTGGTTTGCCCAATCTACCAATGAACATTCCCAAAGAATTTGGCCTGCCCAATCTACCAATAAAATATAGCCCTAAAATATTTAGCCTGCCCAATCTACTAATGAAATACAGTTTCCAAAGAATTAGGTCTTCCTAATCCCAAAGCAATTAATTAATCTAACTCAGCGGTTCTCAACCTGTGGGTTGCGACCCCTTTTGACCATCAGAAAACACATACAGTTATGACGTAGCAACGAAAAGAATTTTGCGATTGGGGGTCGCCACAATAATGGGAACTGTATTAAGGGGTCGCGGCATTAGGAAGGTTGAGAGCCTCTGATCTAGCTGCTCATATTCCACCCTCGCCCACAACTGTATGAGCAATATTTACTCCTAGAAGGCTTTGTGAAGGCTTGTTCACATCTATGCAAATAGTGCTACCATCATGCTTGTAACTAGGTTTTGTACAGATTTTTTTCCCATCTATCCAGTTAGGGCTACCATCATGCTTGTTAATTACCTGGGTGCTGGACATCCCTGTACTTCTCATATAGAATCACCAATTCTTGTTCTTCGTGTTCTGACCACAAAACTTTTCCCTTGCTGAAATTAGAAAAATCATTTAAATTTGTTTGAAATAAACATCAGGTGACCCCTCTAAAGCAAGAGTAAACAAAGAGTTCAAAGCCACTGACCTTCCCCTTCAATGTTACTTTGGCCACATTGTCATCCTTGAAAAGCCAAAAGCTTCCCTTACGCATATTTTTGTAATTTTTACAGTGAGACTAATTTTCATTGTTTTATTTACAATGTTATAGCTCATGTTTTAAATTTGAGCTATGAAAGATAATAGACTTCAAGGCAAGGGCAGCTAAGGTTGTTAAGATGACTAAAGAAAGTCAGATGCTTCTGTTGTTTGGCTGGATGACCACTATGAGCTACTCCATGGCATGTGAGTGTTGTGTCAGAGTGCAACTTCACCACATGACGGGCAGGTTGTGTCAGAGTGCAACTTCGCCACATGATGGGCGTATTGTGTCAGTGTGCAACTTTGCCGCATGACGGGCGTGTTGTGTCAATGTGCAACTTCACCGTATGACGGGTGTGTTGTGTCAGTGTGCAACTTTGCCGCATGACGGGCGTGTTGTGTCAGAGTGCAACTTCGCCACATGATGGGCGTGTTGTGTCAGTGTGCAACTTTGCCGCATGACGGGCGTGTTGTGTCAGTGTGCAACTTCACCGTATGACGGGTGTGTTGTGTCAGTGTGCAACTTTGCCGCATGACGGGCGTGTTGTTTCAGTGTGCAGCTTTGCCGCGTGACGGGCGTGTTGTGTCACTGAGCAGCTTTGCCGCGTGTCCTGTTTCAGTGTGAGGGAGACTGGCAGAACCTTAATGAAGTTGGCAGCCTCTGGTCATGGATTAGATAACATGGTGAGATGATCAAATACCTACGACAGAAGGGAGACACCAACCTTTTAGCCTGGAAGTCATAATCTCCTGTAATCGCCAAAGCCTCATTTCTGCTCTTCCAAAACATAAGATCAACAAAAACTTTCTTGTTGTGCTGGGCGACTGCTGTGAACTGCCTAACAACATAGCAGGCAAACTTGTATAATTCCTGGAGGTTAACATTGGGATGAAATGATAAACAGTTTTATTTAGTTTACTGTGGCTAAAACATCCAAGTAATTTGAATATATTATGTACTTAATAAACATGAACTTAACAATAAATATGTACTTACAAAGTTATATGTACTTACTGAGCTTAAAAATGTTGATTTTTACAATTATTTCTTGTGTTAGACCAAAAAAGAATTCAGATTCTTACTTTTATCCACAAGATATTTTTTAGGGGTTTCATTTATTGTGTCAGTACAAAGAATGTGAGAATATTTATAGATTTTTTTTAAAAAATCACTGATCCCCCAATAAGCTAGAAAGGTCAAATTCTGTCACTGTTTAGAATCAAGGTACCTTTTACGGTTTCATATTTTGAAATATCCCTGCTTTCCATTCTAAAAAGAATTTACTGATCCGTTTGAATCGGAACTTGATAATCAAATAATGAGATGACATAAGTCAAGACCAATCCTTGCGGATGTCGTATATTAAGCAACATGTTATTTAAATATAAAAGAGCAATTTTTTTTAATAATGCAAATGTTGTGGTTAGTAAAATTCTGGAAATTATTTCCAAAGGAAACTGAAAAGATTTATATATATACTTTTCTCATCTTATTAAGTTTTTATATATTTAAAGAATATTCAGTCGTGACTTCACATATTATTAAATGAAATTAAAGGGCTGAAGACAAAATGGCTCATTCCTCACCCCCCCCCCCCCCCCTCCTCCACTGTCAGATCGGGTCATGTTGTTCTGAGTCTGGTTGTGAGCGATTGTGTTTTTTTTTCCTTTAGGTTTTCCTTTTAATCCCATGAATTTTCTCAGCCAAATATGATGTGGCGGGGTGGCGGTGTGGCGGTGTGGCGATGTGGTGGAACAAACCACGTGGGGAAAGAGGTGAAAAAAGTGTTTGAAATTAGTGCTGTGTTGGAAGTGGGGCAGTGACCATTGCTGTGGATGTAGGAATGAGAGCCAATGAACAGGTGAGTAATCCTACTGAGAGACAATTGACAGGTGAGTAAGTCCTAGTGTGAGACAATGGACAGGTGAGTAGGCCCTAGTGAAAGACAATGGACAGGTGAGTAAGTCCTAGTGAGAGACAATGGACAAGTGAGTAATCCTACAGAGAGACAATGGACAGGTGAGTAAGCCCTAGTGAGAGACAAACAGGTGAGTAAGGTGAATTACTTTGTATCTTGGCAAGGTGGCATAAGGACCATGCATCAGTGCACAGAATGCCTTGAACACCGATGCCTGGAACAGCATTCCGACACAGCCCTGGTCGTGTGCCAGGCGATGCAACATCTTGATGACACAGTGGTTGACCAAATCTGAATTCTCCACAAACTCAGCAAGCAAAGTCGCGTAGCTTTTGACTACATCTGGATGAGCAAAACTGTCGGAGAAAATAAGACAGGATGTTAAGTTGTAACAAAATGCTTAGTTATAGTTGTAACAAAATGCTTAGTTATAGTTGTAACAAAATGCTTGGTTATAGTTGTAACAAAATGCTTAGATATAGTTGTAACAAAAGGCTTAGTTATAGTTGTAACAAAATGCTTAGTTATAGTTGTAACAAAATGCTTGGTTATAGTTGTAACAAAATGCTTAGTTATAGTTGTAACAAAATGCTTGGTTATAGTTGTAACAAAATGCTTAGATATAGTTGTAACAAAAGGCTTAGTTATAGTTGTAACAAAATGCTTAGTTATAGTTGTAACAAAATGCTTAGATATAGTTGTAACAAAAGGCTTAGTTATAGTTGTAACAAAATGCTTAGTTATAGTTGTAACAAAATGCTTAGTTATAGTTGTAACAAAATGCTTGGTTATAGTTGTAACAAAATGCTTGGTTATAGTTGTAACAAAATGCTTAGTTATAGTTGTAACAAAATGCTTTGTTATAGTTGTAAAAAAATGCTCAGTTATAGTTGTAACAGAATGCTAAGTTTATTTTACATTGTTGGCCAGTTTTGGTGGACAAAAAAAAGGAGCTAGTCTAAAGACAAAAATTGAATGTTGTGTTCAACATACTCAGTAAAAAATTTTTTTCAACTTACTCTGTAACAAAACCAGCAAAGTCAAACTGAGCTTCACATCTCTCCACTTCCTCCCTCTCCTCCTCAACAACCTCGTTGGGTTCCTCTTCCTCCTCTACGGGCTCCTCCTGTCTTTGTAAACCTGAAAGACATAGAAATAAACATAACATGTTTGTGTATCTCAACAATATATCAGCACTAATAGATGTAACTATCAAATATTGCAAGTATGCATCAGGGGCATCACTAGAGACCAGAAAATATTTAGCTATTAAAAGATACAATAAAAACATGCTCGTCTGGGTCTTTAATTCCTGTGGGGAACTAAGATTACATTTTTTTTTGGCTTAGGGTCTATTGGGTCAAGGACTTAACACTTGACCTAGATTTCTTGTTGTGCCAGGAAAATAGATCCAGAGTCAGACAGTTTTGTGAGAAAGGAAATTGTGTGGGACTGGGGAGGGTGATGACGTACATGGCCGTGTGATATTTGAGACAGTGAGATAGGTCAATTTTGAGGGGAAATGCCTCATGACCTGGTAATGTGTGGGTTGTGTGGAGATGGTTATGTTTAGGTGATAACATGTGGAGGTGGTAATGTTTAGGTGTAATAAAGTGGAGGTGGTAATGTTTAGGTGGTAATAATGTGGATGTGTTAATGATGTGGATGTGGTAATTTTTAGGTGGTAATGATGTGGATGTGGTAATGCTTAGGTGGTAAAGATGTGGAAGTAGTCATGTTTAGTGGTGATGACATGTGGAGGTGGTCATGTTTAGGAAGTAACAAGTGGTTTAAGTGGAGGTCAAAATATGTGGGTAATGTGGTGGTGGTACTGTGTGGGTCCTATGTAGGTGGTAACATGTGGATGTGGTAATGTTTAGGTGGTAATGATGTAGAAGTGGCAATGTTTAGGGAGTAACATGTGGGTGAAGTGGAGGTGGTAATGGGTGGGATATTTGTTGGTGGTAACATGTGGATGTGGTAATGTTTGGATTATGTGAGGTGGTTGAGACGTACTATAACTGGTGTGGCGTGTGATATTTGCGACAATGGAGAGATATTGTGATGCAGGTTTGAGGGTATGATCACCTTAGTATATCAGGGAATAATCTATTAAAGTGTAATGGGGAAGACAATCCATACACAAATAAATGCCAACTGTTTAAACTCTTTAAAATCCTAAATAGGAATGATTCCAAAAGCCATAAATTTTTGTATTGATAAACTTGCTTAATGTTTCAGATTTGGAAACAAACAAAATATAATTATAAACTGTTCATAGAATTATTTTCGATGTAAAAATAACTACAGCAATCTTATCTTTAGGTAGTGTAAAATAGCATTGTTTCAATTTTGTTTAACACACAGGGAAAAAATAAGTATTTCCTTCTGTCATTTTGGTGTTGATGCTATAGAAGGATTCTCCCTGTTGACGCTCCTTTTTGAACAATCACCAATTGAATACTGGCGTATCACATAAACAGTTTTGTACTGGCATGTTACACATACAGTCTTGTACTGGCGTATTACATATACAGTCTTGTACTGGCATATCACGCAAACAGTCTTGTACTGGCGTATCACACAAACAGTCTTGTACTGGCATATAACACATACAGCCTTGTATTTTCTATCTTGTCACATGGGTCACTGGCACATAAGGAAATAAAAATAACAACTTATCTATTGAATCCAATCAACGCGGAGATCATATCTGCATTTTTACAAGATCAGATCGGCATCTTTACAAGATCACATCGGCATCTTTACAAGATCATATCGGCATCTTTACAAGATCACATCAGCATCTTTACAAGATCACATCGGCATCTTTACAAGATCACATCGGCATCTTTATTATTATTATGAAAGTGGTTTTATATAGCCCATTACCCCAGCCTAGGACTAGGCTCACTGCGCTTCACATAAAGCCTCACCCACCCAAGGACTATCTACCCCTGTCTAGCAATGGACAGCACCCAGCAGCATCGAGCGTTTTGTATCATTTAGAGGGGGTAGCGTTGTGAGAATTGAGTCGGTAGAGTAGAGTTTGAAGAGACGGGTCTTGAGCGCAGTTTTGAATGCTGTGATAGTCGGTAGAGTAGAGTTTGAAGAGACGGGTCTTGAGTGCAGTTTTGAATGCTGTGATAGTCGGTAGAGTAGAGTTTGAAGTGACGGGTCTTGAGTGCAGTTTTGAATGCTGTGATAGTCGGTAGAGTAGAGTTTGAAGAGACGGGTCTTGAGCGCAGTTTTGAATGCTGTGATAGTCGGTAGAGTAGAGTTTGAAGAGATGGGTCTTGAGTGCAGTTTTGAATGCTGTGATAGTCGGTAGAGTAGAGTTTGAAGAGATGGGTCTTGAGTGTAGTTTTGAATGCTGTGATAGTCGGTAGAGTAGAGTTTGAAGAGACGGGTCTTGAGTGCAGTTTTGAATGCTGTGATAGTCGGTAGAGTAGAGTTTGAAGAGACGGGTCTTGAGTGCAGTTTTGAATGCTGTGATAGTCGGTAGAGTAGAGTTTGAAGAGACGGGTCTTGAGTGTAGTTTTGAATGCTGTGATAGTCGGTAGAGTAGAGTTTGAAGAGATGGGTCTTGAGTGTAGTTTTGAATGCTGTGATAGTCGGTAGAGTAGAGTTTGAAGAGACGGGTCTTGAGTGCAGTTTTGAATGCTGTGATAGTCGGTAGAGTAGAGTTTGAAGAGACGGGTCTTGAGTGCAGTTTTGAATGCTGTGATAGTCGGTATGTTGCGGATGTGTAATGGGAGACAATAATATCAGGAGCTTTACGAAATCATATCAGAATCTTTAAAAAACCATATCAGCCTTTATAAGAGCATATCAGTATCTTTACAATAGGCTCTCATAATAGAATAAAACCAATCACAAAGATTGTACAGAGAACTTCATTCAAGGGCCATCATATACCCCCACTGTGAGAATCACTGGGCAATAAAGGAAAGAGGAGGGATGTAACTCTAGCAGTAAGTTAATTATTTGAATATTTGCCACTGCTGGATGCCTCCAATGGTCACCAGCCACTTGCCCCGTCTCAAGTGCCACAAGACTGGTGGCGACCAACACCGACATAGTTATCAAGGATTTCCTCCACCTTCGGCTCATTCAAGCCAGTTAACTCAAGGACATTGGGAAAAGATTTAATCATTCCTTCTGTGAATGAGACTTTGAGTGTTGTCCTTTATTTAACTGTCTCCATGAATCGTTTGAAACTTATTATAGATGACCAATGGCGGAGCTTGTCACACTGATAGCAAGGTGGCACTTTAATCAAATCAATCAATTTTATTCCTTAAATAAACTATACGTTGATTATTTTATTTGGGGGGGGGGGATGTGTTCCTTTAATATGAAACTACTGGTAATACAGACAATTTATCCCAATGATCCTGATTCCTGTATTTTCAAGCATTTGTACAATTTGACAATAAAACCTAATTTACCCCCTCTCCCCCCCCCCCTCTCATTTCCTGAAATTCCTACCACTAACACCAAAAAATAAAATTAGATCTTAAGTTTGGGTTGTGGTGGTTTAGTTGTGGGACAAGGTGTTCTTTATCCTGTTGTGGTGGTTTAGTTGTGGGACAAGGTGTTCTTTATCCTGTTGTGGTGGTTTAGTTGTGGGACAAGGTGTTCTTTATCCTGTTGTGGTGGTTTAGTTGTGGGACAAGGTGTTCTTTATCCTGTTGTGGTGGTTTAGTTGTGGGACAAGGTGTTCTTTATCCTGTTGTGGTGGTTTAGTTGTGGGACAAGGTGTTCTTTATCCTGTTGTGGTGGTTTAGTTGTGGGACAAGGTGTTCTTTATCCTGTTGTGGTGGTTTAGTTGTGGGACAAGGTGTTCTTTATCCTGTTGTGGTGGTTTAGTTGTGGGACAAGGTGTTCTTTATCCTGTTGTGGTGGTTTAGTTGTGGGACAAGGTGTTCTTTATCCTGTTGTGGTGGTTTAGTTGTGGGACAAGGTGTTCTTTATCCTGTTGTGGTGGTTTAGTTGTGGGACAAGGTGTTCTTTATCCTGTTGTGGTGGTTTAGTTGTGGGACAAGGTGTTCTTTATCCTGTTGTGGTGGTTTAGTTGTGGGACAAGGTGTTCTTTATCCTGTTGTGGTGGTTTAGTTGTGGGACAAGGTGTTCTTTATCCTGTTGTGGTGGTTTAGTTGTGGGACAAGGTGTTCTTTATCCTGTTGTGGTGGTTTAGTTGTGGGACAAGGTGTTCTTTATCCTGTTGTGGTGGTTTAGTTGTGGGACAAGGTGTTCTTTATCCTGTTGTGGTGGTTTAGTTGTGGGACAAGGTGTTCTTTATCCTGTTGTGGTGGTTTAGTTGTGGGACAAGGTGTTCTTTATCCTGTTGTGGTGGTTTAGTTGTGGGACAAGGTGTTCTTTATCCTGTTGTGGTGGTTTAGTTGTGGGACAAGGTGTTCTTTATCCTGCACACTACATAGGAAAGAGCTGGCTCTCATTTTCAGAGCTATTTCTTGGATAAAGTAGGTCCAAAATCCTTTGAAGTTAAAGACAATTTATAAGTCCAAATCTGGAACAAATCATCATGAAGGAACTTTTACACTGCATCTCTGGTACTTGCATACTAAACTTTAATGGACCACTTGCTACTCTGTGACCACTTGCTATTCTGTAACCATGCGCTCCTCTGTGACCTTGTGCTCATTCATTTAAAGCACCACAGGTGGTTGACCATCACGCTAGCACATCAGTGACAATGACACATTAAGTAAACAAACCCTAAAAAGAAATTTTACCTTGTAAGTACTTAACAGGTCTTTTTTATGATTCTATTTTACATCAATATTCCAACTCCTTCCCGATTTTACATCGCAGATTTATTTCACAGACTGTTTCATATTTTCCACGAATCTCATTTAGTGCAATTATCAATCTGGAATTTTATTTCCTGAAATCAGTGGTGTCATATTTCCTTCATCTTCCCCTTGAAAAACATGAAAAACTGATTTTTGGAGGTTGGGGCTGAAAATTTGAAAGAAGGTGATGTCATCGGCAACGAGTGTATTTGCCAAGTTTCGGCTCTATAGTTTTTGTTATAGGAAGCGGGTCAATGGGCCATCCAAAGATTTTGCCGCACACCCAGCCAGAAAGAAAGAAACACTCAAACAAAAGGGAAGTTACTATAAAGGATTAAAATAAAATTGCGCCTGCTCAGTGTAAACACCTATGTAGGATAACTGTGTCATGGATTCACCTCTTAGATTTGTGGCAGTGTGAACGTACTTTCAAACACACAAGTATAGGTACTCTAAGCAAATGTGAAATTATAGATGTGCAAATGTTCATTTTGGTCGCTAGAAGATTTTGGGCAAGGTCGAGTTTAATTTGTTTACACAGGAAGTGAAGTAAGAACTTTGTGTTGTGCTCTTGACACATTTAGGGATGTTGAAAATTAGTTGAAACTACTTTAAAAACAACTGTTAAGTTAGTGTTTCCCTGTCCATGCTGTTAAGTCAGTGCAGCCCTGTCCATGCTGTTAAGTCAGTGTTTCCCTGTCCATGCTGTTAAGTCAGTGCATCCCTGTCCATGCTGTTAAGTCAGTGCATCCCTGTCCATGCTGTTAAGTCAGTGTTTCCCTGTCCATGCTGTTAAGTCAGTGTTTCCCTGTCCATGCTGTTAAGACAGTGCAGCCCTGTCCATGCTGTTAAGTCAGTGCAGCACTGTCCATGCTGTTAAGTCAGTGTATCCCTGTCGATGCTGTTAAGTCAGTGTTTCCCTGTCCATGCTGTTAAGTCAGTGTATCCCTGTCCATGCTGTTAAGTCAGTGCATCCCTGTCCATGCTGTTAAGACAGTGCAGCCCTGTCCATGCTGTTAAGTCAGTGTTTCCCTGTCCATGCTGTTAAGTCAGTGCAGCCCTGTCCATGCTGTTAAGTCAGTGCAGCCTGTCCATGCTGTTAAGTCAGTGCATCCCTGTCCATGCTGTTGAGTCAGTGTTTCCCTGTCCATGCTGTTAAGTCAGTGCATCCCTGTCCATGCTGTTAAGTCAGTGCATCCCTGTCCATGCTGTTAAGTAGTGTTTCCCTGCCCATGCTGTTTAACTCTGTACGTTTCAACCATAGAGAAACACTGCATTTTCGCCAGGTGTGAAATGGGGGTGAAGCTAACTTTTTTTAAAAAAATGATAAATTTAGTTTTGATTTAGTTCAGAGATACAATGATTATTAGAGAAAAAAAAAGATTTCATTTAAACATATTTAAAATAACCAGGATATTTTTTATCAACAAAAGTACAGTCTCATACAATGTAAGTCTAGGTATCCACACAATGAGGCCTAGGTATCCACACAATGAGGCCTAGGTATCCACACAATGAGGCCTAGGTATCCACACAATGAGGCCTAGGTATCCACACAATGAGGCCTAGGTATCCACACAATGAGGCCTAGGTATCCACACAATGAGGCCTAGGTATCCACACAATGAGGCCTAGGTATCCACACAATGAGGCCTAGGTATCCACACAATGAGGCCTAGGTATCCACACAATGAGGCCTAGGTATCCACACAATGAGGTCTAGGTATCCACACAATGAGGTCTAGGTATCCACACAATGAGGCCTAGGTATCCACACAATGAGGCCTAGGTATCCACACAATGAGGTCTAGGTATCCACACAATGAGGTCTAGGTATCCACACAATGAGGCCTAGTTATCCACACAATGAGGTCTAGGTATCAACACAATTAGGCCTAGGTATCCACACAATTAGGCCTAGGTATCCACACAATGAGGCCTAAGTATCCACACAATGAGGCCTAGTTATCCACACAATGAGGCCTAGGTATCCACACAATTAGGCCTAGGTATCCACACAATTAGGCCTAGGTATCCACACAATGAGGCCTAGGTATCCACACAATTAGGCCTAGGTATCCACACAATGAGGCCTAGGTATCCACACAATGAGGCCTAGGTATCCACACAATGAGGTCTAGGTATCCACACAATGAGGCCTAGGTGACCACACAATGAGGCCTAGGTACCCACACAATTAGGCCTAGGTATCCACACAATTAGGCCTAGGTATCCACACAATGAGGCCTGGGTATCCACACAATTAGGGCCTATGAAATTAACATTTCAAATAATCTGAACAACCTAAAACGTATTGTGCAATTCAATAAGAGGATGCTAGTGATATCTAAGAACATTATAATGATAATTGTAGTTGACCAATATTTTTTTGTCTTTAAAAATAAATCTACAAGTTTTGGTTTGCGTAATCAGCTAATCAAGTTTTCGTTTTCATGCTTTCCCAAAATCTTAATGAGGAAAAAATGGAAGATAGTAATTTTTTCTTTCTTTAAAATATTAGGGGTTTATTTCATATAAAATATATTTGTTCCTCTAATCAGTGCAGATATTGCCAAATGACTTGAAACATGTGAAGATGTTGCCAAGGGACAACCTCAGGCTATAAATTAATTGATCCCTAATAGAAAACCCTCATTTCCATATACATTAAGTCTGAAAAGCAGTCAACTAGGAATGAGATGCAAAAATTAAAAACTCCAGGTAAGGAATATTTGATATTATAATTGCAGTACTAATGAATGATATGTGTATGCTGTATGCAGTAGGCCGAATTTGTAGGATTTTATGCTTGATGATTATTTTTTTGGAAAAAAAAAAAAAAGTCACTTTTTTTTTTTTATCCTAACACTTTTCTTTTTTCCATTCCACTATTTAGTAGGCCGAATTTGTAGGATTTTATGCTTGATGATTATTTTTTTGGAAAAAAAAAAAAAGTCACTTTTTTTTTTTTATCCTAACACTTTTCTTTTTTCCATTCCACTATTGTTAAGTCTGTGTGAGATCAATAAAATCCTGCCATGTACAAATAAACTATTTTTCATCCAAAGAAAATTTCTTCAAACTTTATTTCTGTTTGGATATCATGTTGATAATTTGTGACTTCACAAATGCTTATGTCAACCACATGAGAGAAGAAAATAAATAACCTTCAAACAGCAATTTTTGGCGGGTTGTCTCATGTTAATCAACAAAGTGGTTTGCATGGGGGTTCTGGTTAGTGTCATCTTATTTGAGCAAATAATCAAACTACAATTGAGACCACTTTAAATTTAAAATTAAGGTCTTATTCCATATTTTAACAAGGTGAGGTGGGGCACGGTGCAAACACATTGAGAACCACTACTCTATTAGAAATGCACACAGATTTCAAAAGGATCAAGCTTGACTGTCTCCAGTATGGATGTTGGCTAAGTTACAAGTGCCTCTAAAAGTGCAATGTGTCTTCAAGTCATCTGGATAAGAGAGTTTTTTTAGTTAAGTGTTAAGAATTGTATAATGATGACATAATCAACATTTGATGGACAAGTATCAAGAAATTAAAATCTCATGAAAAATGTATTTTTTGTCAATTAAATACTCTTCGTTAAAATACAAAGTGAGAATTTCTTCTGACCACTTGACCAAAAGATCTTTGATACAATTGCACCTTTGGTGTGGTGAACACAAATTCATTGGTCATAGGACCATAGACTCAAGACTCTTTAGTACTGCACCTCTGGTCTGGTGACCACAAATTCATTGGTCATCAACACAACATAAATTGTCAAAGTATTTTATTAAGTTCATTTTCTAAAAGCAAATGTTTCTATAACTTTTGATCACCAACATTTCCATTTTTTTATAAATACTTTTCATTCTAATATAATTGAGTCAAAAACTTGTTTAGGTCTTCTATTAGGAGAGCAAACCTCCAAGGAAAACAGTAAGATCATAAAATCATCAGCAGAGTGATTGCAAGTATACAACAAACTTTTTAAGCAGATGTCACAATAATTGGCGCCACCACTGCAGTCAACTATAATTACGTTATATGACAGCAGGCGTGAGCGTCAGTCGTTGAACTACACTCCAAGTAAAGTGGAGGCAATTATTAAGAGCAGGTCATCGTCTTGGATATATTTAGATGTTTCGCCAACACCCACACACAGAAGGGAAAAATATTTTCGTCATAACAACTTCTCCTTGCCAAGGGAATACCAGTCTTCTCAGTGTTAAAAACCAGTCTTCTCAGAGTTAAATGTCAGCCTTTTTAGTGTTAAACATCAGTCTCTTCAGTGTTAAATACCAGTCTTTTCAGTGTTAATTCCAGTCTTCTGTATTAAATACCAGTCTTCTCAGTGATAACTATTTCAACCATTTAAACAGGTTAGAAAGAAAAATGCATCAGTTGTGAGAGTAGCTTAAGGTCTATGAATTAGAGTCAAGATGGAATTTGTGCTCATCATTTTATTATTGGCATCGGCCAGACTGACAGTGGCCCAGACCTGCCCGGCTGACTGCTACTGTGGCGAGGACCAGGTGGATTGCTATGACAGACAACTCGGTGCAATGCCAGACAACCTTTCGGCATCTGCAAGATACTTAAACTTGCAAAAGAATAACATCAAAACCGTGGATGGTTGGAAACTGACAGGCCTTCAGGGTTTGGAGCATCTGAATCTTAAAGAGAACCAGGTGGAGGAATTGCAGCCTGAGAGCTTTCTGAACCTCAGCAGCCTGCGTAATCTCCATCTGGAAAACAACAACATCCAGAACATAGCGGATAACGCTTTTGGTGATCTCCCTGCACTTAAGGTGCTGGAACTATCCGGCAATCAGATCTCGGACATATCAGGAACATTTGAAAACATCTCAAGTTTAGAAAGACTGAACTTAAACCAGAACAAGCTGACGTCACTGAAAGATGACAGCTTTAAGGGCGTGAGGGGGCTCACGTACCTGACCCTTGCCCAGAACAAAATATCTTTCATTTCAAAACTAGCATTTCAAGGCATGACGATACTCTCCTATTTAGTTCTACGAGGCAACCCTCTCAGGAATGTGGACGGTATATTCACCGGTTTGGAGGCATTGATGTTTCTAGACGTTTCATCCTGCCAGCTGAGTCGTGTGCCCGCTGGTCTTCCCTGGCCACTAATGACACTCAATTTGTCCAGTAATGATCTTCTCATTCTGGAATCAAGAGATCTTGAGGACACCCAGCATCTTGGAACCATTATTTTAGACAACAATAAGATATCTGTCATACAAGACGGTGCATTTGACAACAAACCCTACCTTAAGGACATTCGTTTGAATGGCAACAAGCTTAAACAGCTGCCCTACGGGATACCATCAACTGTTCTCAAATTTACTGCAGAAAATAACAACATTTTACGAATTTTCGACTTAAATTTCGCACATGATTCCACGATGAGAGTTTTGTCGCTGAAGAACAATCAGATCAACGACCTTGCTGCCTATACGTTTTCACGCCTGCCAAATTTGACAGCTCTGTTTCTGGACCAGAATCAGATCACGATCTTGAACAACATGACATTCGCTGGACTCCGCCAACTAAACACACTGAACCTGGAGCAGAACCCAATCAGCAGGATCGAACGCCGCGCTTTCACCAGCCTACAACGGCTGAACTACCTGAAACTTTCCAGCACGACAAGCAACGCCACTGTGCTCGGAGTGGCCGCATTTCAGGACTGTCCGTCATTGATCAGCTTGGAGCTCATGGGAAGTCCTTCCATCGTCAAAAGTATTCTCAACAGCAAAGAGAACCTCCATTCTCTACAAGGCCTTAAGGACCTGAACATTATGAACAATGGTTTACAAACTTTATCCATGGATGTTAGGATGGCTTTGGGTAATCTGAGGACACTGAAACTATCCGCTAATCCCTGGGACTGCGACAGTCATTTACTATATCTGCGAAAGTGGATGTCAGAATTCCCAAAGTTGTTTTTTATGCTTGAAAGTGTTACATGCGCCAGCCCAGAGAATCTTAAGGGCAGATCAGTACTAGACGTGGATCCTAAAGAATTTACCATGGCGACGACCACGGAAGCCTCAACAACAAAGGAGATCACAAGAGCAATGACTACAACAAATGATGAAAATAATGAAGATTCTTCAAAAGCAGATCCCCAGGTGGAAAAACCAAGCAGTCCATCAACAGAGACAAAACTGACCATGACCCCAAGTAGATCATTCAACCATGTGGAATCAACTGTGTCAACATCATTTTCTCACTCAACGCCAATCATGGAAACGACGCGTTTGATAACCTCTGACATCCAGCAGACAGTCAGCGTCTCGCCAGCAACGCCGGCGCTGTCCTCTGTGCAATATCTAACAACGGAATACACTTGGGAACAGGTAAAACGTTCGCACTAACCTTTTTTTTTTATCTTTCAAAATGTTTAACGACCAGAAAGTATAAAAACAAACTTGAAAATACAAACTGGTTTGTCTGTTAACCATTTAAAAGAAACATTAAAAGCAATTGATAGAAACTATAGCTTCATTAAACACTACAAGCAATTGATAGAAACTATAGCTTCATTAAACACTACAAGCAATTGATAGAAACTATAGCTTCATTAAACACTACAAGCAATTGATAGAAACTATAGCTTCATTAAACACTACAAGCAATTGATAGAAACTATAGCTTCATTAAACACTACAAGCAATTGATAGAAACTATAGCTTCATTAAACACTACAAGCAATTGATAGAAACTATAGCTTCATTAAACACTACAAGCAATTGATAGAAACTATAGCTTCATTAAACACTACAAGCAATTAATAGAAACTATAGCTTCATTAAACACTACAAGCAATTGATAGAAACTATAGCTTCATTAAACACTACAAGCAATTGATAGAAACTATAGCTTCATTAAAGCCAAGGTGTTAGTTTGTCAAGTTATTAGCTTAACATTTGCTGGGTCATTTTATGGTGTTTTTAAGTACATGCAAAAATAAAGAACTGGACTGTATGTAAGTAAGTATGTAAGTAAGTAGGTAAGTAGTTAGGAAGTATGTAAGTAAGTAGGTAAGTATTTGCCAATTCACTGGACTGTATGTAAGTAAGCAGGTAAGCATGTACCGATTCACTGGACTGTATGTAAGTAAGTATGTACCAAGTCATCTCATAGAGTAATGTAAAAAATGGGGGGAAAAAAGTCATGGCTACTGGAAACATTTAAGAAAAGGAAGGAGGGAGGACTACATTCAGACTAAAGTGCTTTAACAAAGTACATGGATAAAGTGCTTTAACACAGTACATGGATAAAGCGCTTTAACAAATTACATGGATAAAGTGCTTTAACAAAGTACATGGATAAAGTGCTTTAACAAAGCACAGTGATAAAGTGCTTTAACAAAGTACATGGATAACGTGCTTTAACTAAGTACCGAAATAAAGTGGGGCTAAACAATACAACAAATATGTTGGTCGAGAATTTTCACTGAAAATTTCAGCTACAAAAAATTAATATATTTTGGGAGACATAACAGCAGCATTTTCAAGCAACCCCCACTACAAGCCCCCTCCATTACTACTCCACTTATTGTCATTAAATTTTTAAACTGACTTCAGTGAATGCATGTCTGTAATATTCATTTGACCCCCACACATGTCTATGATAATGATTTCAGGCCCATACACTGATTCAAGAGACAGTGAGTACTGCCATGATCACTCAAACTTATTCCACACCAGAGTACGGTTTAACATCAGACAGTGATGAGTTCAAACAAACAACCAGAGAGTCGAGGTGAGCCAAAATTTGAATATCTCCAAAAATCTTAATGAACAAATTAGGACAGAATAATAAAACCCTGGTTTAGTTAGTAAAACACAGGATTAGCACAATGCAGGTTTTAATGTCCAGTGCAAATGAAAGACTTTGAAAAGATATCCTTTTTAAAGGCAAGCGCTATTCAAACCCATTTAAAAGAGCTCAGAAAATAGAAAAATAAAGAAAGAAAAGAGAAAAAAAGGAGCTCCTAAACATTTATTCAAAAAACTCTTTTAAAAAATTGTCAAAATAATTCCATGTGTCTCTACAGTCTTCTCTTAAAAAGTAATCACACGACCAACTTATGTAAAAGGTTCTTTCTTGCTAGATCACCCAAAACATAAAATAAAAACCACTTTTTCCCCCAGTACTGAAGAACCTGAGATGCCATCAAGCAGCGTGCTGGTAACAGAAGGAGAAAGAGTTTCCCAGAATGAGACCTCTGTCAACAACAGTGACATTTCCCACAGCTACAACACCCCTTCCTACGACAGAAGTAGACCACGGCTCAATGGAGAGGACAACCGCCTACCCACCTTCATGATTGGTGGCAAGATGCAAGCTGTAATCATTGGGGTCTCAGTGTCTCTGCTCTCCCTGATAGCAGGCCTCATCATTGCTGTCCTTGTGGTTAGATACAAACGCAGACAGAAAAAGCTCTCGTTGGTAGGCTCGAGTCAACCTGCTATGAAGAATGCCCACGAGACCTCAGATACAGTCTTCATTATAAGTCACATGGCAGATGAGCCGATGAGAGACGTGAAAATTGAACCTCGGAAGGTAGAAATTGACAACGATGATTTCCTATCTACAAGTCCTGTGGACAGAAAGTCAAGCGCCTCTTCCTCATCCCAGTCATCATCTAGAAAAGGCTCCAGATGCAAGAGGCAGTGGTCATCAGCTTCATCCAGTTCAAGGACAAGTTTTGACTGCATTCAGGGTCAAACAGATGATGACTCTGAGCTGCTGATGCATGCATGGAAATAATCCAATCCAAGGGGAGATGATCTGAGTCACTGGACTCTTCCAGTCAATCACCAAAAATTCTTAGGACTCCAGATTTAATTTAGAATTATAACATTTTGTGTGCTTGACCATGAATAATGTGTTCTGAGTTCAGAGACTGCGATATATTGGGTTATACTATGGGCCAGGACAAACCTACCACCAGTGGCTTTGAAATGGTCTTCATCGTTAAAGTCGATAAAGCTAACCAAAAAGTCCAGATTTTAACAAACTGAGACATTCGCCTCACCCCATTTGAGAGGTTGCAGGTTTAGACTAACCGCTTGTGTATGTTATCTGACTCAAGAAGACCACAGAATGAATTTTTAACAGATAATGCATTGTCCAACACAGACAAAGATTATAAATATCCCTTATTCATGTATTCATGTGATTGTAAGTAATTCTTTCTTGAGATTTGTGCCACCAGCTTTGTACTGTGGATCTCATATTTGTGCTACAACAAGACAGACTCAACAGCCAAGAACTTACTGCTCTCAATACAATTAGAGGATGGGCAAACATAACAGCCCGAGATGTTTAATCCAGCAAGGCCAAAATGCCACCACAAAGTGTTTTCAACAGTTCAAGGCTGTTTTAATATTAAAAACAAATTAAATAGTTATTTTTTAAAAATGTTTTATTTTGTTAAGTAGGTCAGCAAGGATGACTGAGAAAATCAGGACTGTCGCGAAATGCAGTAAAAAGAAAAAAAATGCCAGCTCTATATCGCTCATTTAAATTTATGTCATGTGCATTGATTCTTGTATACAAAGTCCAGCCTTAGTGGGAATCCTAATGTAGCACTTGCTGACTCAGGAGTCCTGCTAATGTAGCTCTTTCTGAATGGTTGGACACCCTTGATTTTGCACCTCATGTATGTAGGTTACAAAAAAGTACATTATTTCCATATTTTTTTCATGGCAAAAAGGCGGCTTGCTATTTTGTACATTTACATTACTGTTAAACCCCAACTGTTCCAACAATAAAAATCAGCTAAGTACTAAGCCCCTGATTTAATTTAGAAAGCCCCTTTAATGCCACCTATTTCAATTCTAGCTCACCAAATTTATTTTTTTTAAATGAATGTTGCAAAATAAGGACCATTTTCCAATTTCAAATTTAAATCAATTTCATTTTTAGCAATTTTGAGATGAAGCACTTTGAAATGAATATTATAATTTGAAATTCCAGGACTGCACATGTCATTTCTCAATACAAAAAAAAAGTAGAAGCTAGAAAAAAATGTCCGCTTGAATATTTAATACTTTGTAAATCTCACAGTAAGGCTAACAACAAATATAGCTGCAGAACTTTCCTAAATATTCAGCTTTTTATTATATTACAATAAGTTAGCAGTGATCTTTCAGTCATGCTATAATTGGCTTTAAGATTCAATAAATATTCTTTTTATTTTTGGCTTTTTTTCCTAAGATATATATATATATGTATGTGGTGAATTTCATCTTATGGTCTAAGTCATTGTTTTGGTATTTGCATCTAACATTCATATCTAAATCATTGTTCGGGTGTTCATATTTTTATCTAACTTTCATAACTAAATCATTGCCTTGGTATTTGTATCCTACATTCATTATATTTTTTGTCAAACATACCTGTGTAAGGGGATGATGGAAATGAGAGAAACAAAGTAATGGACAAAAGGAAGCAGCATTCTTTTATGTCCTTTTACTAAAGTCTTCCCATACTTTGTTTCGTTCATTTCCTTCAACCTTTTTGCTCTCTCTTTTTTTTTTTTTTTTTTTGTGGTGGGTGTGGTGTGTTTTTTTTGGGGGGGGGGGGGATGATGATGTGAATGACAGATTAAAAAAAAATCAATTAATTTGTTTAAATTCAGAAATAAAATCCATGAAATTATAATTACAACTGCAAAGAAAATATATTGTTAATTTGTTTGCGAAATAAGTGAGATAGAATGAGATAGAGTGAGATAGAGTGAGATGAATGAAGAGTTCTAAGTAAATAATTAGGAAAAAGAAAACAAAACAGGGCTTTGGGATGAAAATGGAACTCTTGTTCAATATGACGACGCTACGTCTCTTGGAAATCTTGTTCCATTTAAAAAAAAAAACATTTTCCAGAAAAGACAAATTGTGATTCTAAAGAAAGCAGAGCAGCATAAAAAGGGTTTAGTATTTTGAATCCTGTGGTTTAGGGTGACTGATTGCTGGAAAACACATTTATGGGTGACTGATTGCTGGGGAACACATTTATGGGTGACTGATTGCTGGGGAACACATTTATGGGTGACTGATTGCTGGGGAACACATGTATGGGTGACTGATTGCTGGGGAAGACATATATGGGTGACTGATTGCTGGGGAAGACATTTATAGGTGACTGATTGCTGGGGAACACATTTATGGGTGACTGATTGCTGGGGAACACATTTATGGGTTACTGATTGATGGGGGGACAAATTTATGGGTGACTGCTGGGGAACACATTTATGGGTGACTGATTGATGGGAACATATTTATTTTTAGGGCAACTGATTGCTGGGGAACAAATTTATTTTTAGGGCGACTGATTGCTGGGGAATGTCATGATTGAAATACTCACATGGCAGGCTGGCCATGAACACCTCCCTCAGGGCAAACAGCTCCTCTTCCTGGTTCATACTCTCAGAACCAAATTCATCCCTGTCTGGCCACACCTCTCTAGCAGCTCGGAACAATGCTAATGCTTCAGCTGGTTTGTTGTCTCTTAAGAATGCTTGCACTCGCAACATGGTGTCGATTCTTTAACATGAGAAATAAGAATACATTTTTTTATTTCACTATCAATAATTCATTTTTTTTTTCCTTACTAGAAATAACCCGCCAAACAATTTGCAGCGGTATTGTATGAACTTCCCATCTACTTGACAAAAACAACCATTCAAGTAATGCACTTGAATCCCAAATTAGTGCCAACTTCTGGAAATTTTAATTTGTGCGCCTACTGAACACACGGTCACAGCCCCACATACATAACAAGTGAATTATTATTGGTGACACTGTTATGGTTTAAGCATTTTAATGAGACAACATGTAGTGACAGATCAGACTGAATAAAGGACACAGATATATTTATGAGTGCTGAGATTCACATCAAGTTTTGTCGTATAATTTTTTCCCTGTTGCCGTGTATTGAGCAGCATTGTAACAGACATTTGGTCAAACTTCAACGATCTTATCAGCAGCATTGTAACAGACATTTGGTCAAACTTCAACGATCTTATCAGCAGCATTGTAACAGACATTTGGTCAAACTTCAACGATCTTATCAGCAGCATTGTAACAGACATTTGGTCAAACTTCAACGATCTTATCAGCAGCATTGTAACAGACATTTGGTCAAACTTCAACGATCTTATCAGCAGCATTGTAACAGACATTTGGTCAAACTTCAACGATCTTATCAGCAGCATTGTAACAGACATTTGGTCAAACTTCAACGATCTTATCAGCAGCATTGTAACAGACATTTGGTCAAACTTCAACGATCTTATCAGCAGCATTGTAACAGACATTTGGTCAAACTTCAACAATCTTATCAGCAGCATTGTAACAGACATTTGGTCAAACTTCAACAATCTTATCAGCAGCATTGTAACAGACATTTGGTCAAACTTCAACGATCTTATCAGCAGCATTGTAACAGACATTTGGTCAAACTTCAACGATCTTATCAATCAAATATATCTGCAGTGTTTAGTTTAAAATGATGGAAGATAAGATGTTAATGTTTTTATTCCTGTCCTGTTGCACTGGGTGCCACTCGAGACTTGTCAGGTTGATTATATGTCTATAGTTACAAAATACCCAGAAAGTTATTTCAATATGACGACACTACGTCTATAGTTATAAATACCCAGATAATTATTTAAATATGTTGATTCTATGTCTATAGTTATAAAATACAAAGATAATAATTTCAAGGTGTATTATTTAAGTCAAGATAACATCACCAATTTAACACATGAAATTACATCATTGTTTAATTCAGCGGTGCTCAACCTTTTTTTTTCCAGACCCGTTTACTCTTACGATTTTGGCGTACAATGTACGATTTTGAGGTGTAAACATTATATATACAATATGTTTATTTTTTACTATAAATCTAAGGTATTGAACGATTTTGTGATGATATTGTACGATTTTAAGAGTTTGAGGGTAAACAGGTATGTTTTTCTCCTACATTCCTTAATTAGACTTGTAATAGAGTTGCTGAAATTTTATAGCATTTTGAGAAATAAAGCATCACGTAAATGAAAGGTTTTTAAAAAAAAATAATTAAAAATTTTTTTTACACATTTATCAATATAATTTGTGCGTAAAACCAATGGGTCCACCGTGCGCCCCTGCTTGGGAACCACTGGTTTAATTGGAAACAACACAGGAAGTTATGAAAAAAATCTAAATATGATCTAGTGACCTTTGATCATCAAGCTGTACGTCAGAGGCAGCATCAAATGGCGTCATGTTGTCAGGGAGTTCTTGATGACCTTGAAGAACTTCAGTGAGAGATACAGAGATCTGATTATCCCACAATTCAGTTAACTGTTGCTCTGTCGGCTGTTCCAAAGGTTGAGCTGTCCAGAATTTACAAAAAAAAAAAATTGTATACTTTTAGGCCCAGTTTAATCTTATAATTAGCTCAGAGAACAAGATTCTTTACGATTATGATATTATAATTAGCTGGGAGAACAAGAGTCTTAATCATTATAATATTATAGTACAACTATTTAAGAATTACATATGGCATATTATATTGAAATGTAGTTATTATCTTTTTAAAGTGATATTTCTTAAAGCAATTAAACATATAAACAGTTTTATTGCTATAACTAGTGACTTTAAAAATATATTGGGTTTCAAAAGTCTTGTGGCACAGGCGTCCCTAAACCGCTATGTCACTGTTAAAACCCAAAACCTAGCTCCGTAATTGGAACAAATAATGAAAAACTAAAAAAATTACCTCCCCATATTACAAAGTAGATTTTCAAAGCCCAACACACAACACATCGGGGCCCAATCATTGGGATTGGCTTAAGTCAGAAGGCTGTTTATAATATCCAAGCATTTAGCTATTGAGTACAACCCTAGTACACCATATGGGAAAGGATGGAGATCACAGCCATTGACTATTGTGTGTCAGTTACCAGGATGGAGATCACAGCTATTGTGTCAGTTACCAGGATGGAGATCACAGCTATTGTGTCTCAGTTACCAGGATGGAGATCACAGCTATTGTGTCAGTTACCAGGATGGAGATCACAGCTATTGTGTCTCAGTTACCAGGATGGAGATCACAGCTATTGTGTCAGTTACCAGGATGGAGATCACAGCTATTGTGTCTCAGTTACCAGGATGGAGATCAAAGCTATTGTGTCTCAGTTACCAGATGAAAGAGGAAGTTTTTCATTACCATTTCTTGTTCTGCTTGGCTTCTTCGACTTCTTCTTCTTTTTCTTCTGCACAACCAACTTGCTTGACTTGCTGAAATTTTCTAGCATCTTGAGAAATACATGAGTTGATTCCACAAGGTCTCGTAGGTAGGACCTGTGTGAAAGGAAATCAATAAACTAATAGAGATGTCGAGGTGATTCTATAAGGTCTCGTAGGTAGGACCTGTGTGAAAAGAATCAATAGACTAATAGAGATGTCAAGCTGATTCTACCAGGTTTCGATGGTAGGACATACGTGAAGAAAATTAACAGAAGAGTTCTCTGGCTGGTTCTACAAGGTCTCGTAGGTGGAACCTAAGGTATGGAAATTAATAGACTAGAAGAGGTTCTGGAATCGGCAGTTCAAACCCAAATGCTGTGTCCCTTAGCATAAACTAATTCATGAAATTGAACCAAATCATGAAAGTAATGAAAATAGAAATGCTATTTCAGCTAGCAGAAATCTCAGTTTGAGCAACAATTAAATTTGCCCATGTTGAAGGAGCAAATATTTTTAGAAAAAGTATTTAAAGAGCAATCTTATTTGTGACATAGTTGAACAGTATAAAAAAAATACAAATAGATTAGGGCCATAGATAAATAAAAAAACTGGATCTTACCCGTGAAGATAGAAAACAAACAAATCACATGTCACACTTACCTAGAACACTTGGATTCCTTGAAATTTTTCAAAAGTGTTACAAAGATGTCACGGTACTCCATCATGTAAAAGACGTTACCTATAGGTGGGGGAAAGACATGTTAAAATAAATCATGACTTCATTTTTATAATGTTCTAATAAAGTTCAAAGGTGTTAGAGAAGCTACAAAAGAATATGATGATACAGGCATAGAGTAATCGCATGATTTCTCTTCAAACCCAGACCTGTTTACACCCCAAACTCCTAAAATCGTAGAGTATCGAATCAAAATCGTACAATATAGTATCTTAATAATATATAAATAAATAACAATACAGCATATATAATGTATACAACAACTAGTTGCATGTGCAGGTGTCAAAAAGGGAACTGAAGGTAAATATTCACTGCTGGATATAGAATGAAAATTGAAAGTAATAACCAAAATTGTACTTTTAATTATCATTTTTTTAATGGGGAAAAAAGTTAACAGAAGGTATATATTTTCAAACCGATCTCTTAAAATTGTAGTTCTGATGGGACTCAGCGTACAATCGTAAAAGACATCTCAAAATCATACACTGTATGCCAAAATCATAAGAGTTAACAGGTCTCAAAACTTATACTCCATAGCGTCTCCATAGTGTATACTCCATAGTGTCTCCATAGTGTATACTCCATAGTGTCTCCATAGTGTATACTCCATAGTGTCTCCATAGTGTATACTCCATAGTGTCTCCATAGTGTAACAGCATGATTTCTCTAGTCAAACGTATGCTCTGTGTCAAGGATTGGTTTTGGTAGAAAAAACATAGCAAGATAGCAAGCGACATGGCTAAACATTATAGGCACCTGACGGCTCAGCAATTATATTTCCAGAAATTATTTTTAAAAAAAAGGAAAGTTTAAGGAATATTTTGTTCTGGTAGGGTACGTTGCTGAATCCATGTACTGGCAGATGTGCAGCGGTTGGGGAAGCGATGCTGGTATCCTAACGGCTCCCACCGGATGCCAGGATAGTCTTGAATCTCTCGATTGACGTTGAGTCCACGGCGGCATTGTCCAGGTGGTTCCAAGCAATCTTGCGACACACCAGTGCTTGGGGGCACATGATTGAAAAGACCACGTTAGAATTTACACAACTTTGGAGAACATGAAGCTGATGAAAGTGTCAGTCAAGGGAGATCACTTCAATACCCCCTTAACAAATTGCTTCAACCTGGGCTGAATTTACAAAACCATTGAGTGTGTTAAGTTAGCACTTACTCTGAATAACTTTGGCACTTTCTCGTATCTGTTCATCTGGGGATCTGCTCATGAAATCTAAAGTACGCAGGAGTTCTTGGTATGCTTTCAAAGCAACATGGGTTCTGGAAAATTTGAGAACTCAATGTGAGAAATAATTTGTATTTTAATTTCAAATGGCTATAATTTAGATACCTAAACTATTTCAAATTTGGCTGTTGACAATTAAAATTATAATTAATATGATAATATCAGTTATCATAAACATATAATACATTGAAAAACATAATATATTTGCTTCTATGTCATGAAATGGAGGTAACCATCATCCTACTATGTCATGAAGTGGACATGATCGGCATCTTACTATGTCATGAAGTGGACATGATTGACATCTTATTATGTCATGAAGTGAAGGTGACAGACACACTACTATCTCTATTCTTCCTCTTCTGCTTATTCTTTTAAACATTGTTGCTTTAAATATTTTTAACAAAACATTGTTCATGAAATTTTTTTTCTTTCAAATTTTTGATTAAATTGACTGTTACCTCCTTTAATTAACAGACCTGTTTACCCCCGAACTCAAAAAATCATACAATATCGTCACAAAATCGTACAATACAGCACCTTAATATAAATAAACACATCGTACAAAAAATGTATACAATAAATACTCGCATGGCAGTGCCTAGTAGGATCGAGTTAAGCTGGCATCAAATGTAAAATGTAAATGACTGACGTTTATAATATTGTAATCTGCGGCCACTTTTTTTTGCAGGTGTGTATCTGCTATGGATATAAATTAATGTTTAGTGAACAGGCAGATCAAATTATCCAGGTCGGTAACTGGTAAAGTTACTGGTGAAAATTAACGAGGTTAAAACTCAAGTCGGATCAAAAGCTTTAAATGGGTGAAGGGAGGGGGGAGAGATAAAAACTCATAAAGCTTTTGTGCGCGTTCTAAAAATAGATTTTAAAGGCTTTCTCATATTCTATAGAATATGTGGAAATCTAATATTGCTGCGTGAAACAGTAGGGAGTGCATTCTCTAGTTTTCTCTGTGATCTCGCCGCGGTTCAGCTGTAAGAAATAATTAATAAAATTAGGTCATACAACACCGAAGAAAACAAAATCGAGGAGGGGCCAGCTATATAGTACGCACAACAAATTTTCTAAACCCCACTTCCCCTGTTGCATGCATACTTTTTTTTTACGACCCCCCCCCACCCCCCCCCAACCTTGCATACGTTACAATGAGCTTTCCGACCCCCTTCATCCAAATAAAATCCAATAATCTTTATATAATTATGTTACAATAAACAAAATGTGACACGCGTTTTCACTTCTGGCTGTTTGGCGCACCCAGTGGTTCCCAGAATATAAGCCACATCGCCCAGGGCACTAGTTGCCCTCGGACAGGGCCATGAGAATGGGGCATAGAGCAACAGCGGCCAAAATCAGGGGGCGCAAAAATCATCAATAGAGAGGGCCTTAATAGTGAATTAAACTACAAAATCCCATTTACTTCACGAACACAAGGGGCGCTAAAAATCGTCCGGGGGGGTGTCACATTTTTCTATATGGGTATCTGCGGCTTCCTCACTGGAGCATTGCGAAATATTAACTAAATTTTCATTATTTTTTCCAATTTACACCAATGTGACGTCTTTGGATCGTGGTGCAAACAGAAACCCACTTGAGAAACAACTGTTTGCAGTTACTAGATAATAATAATAATAATAAAGTTCATTTAAAAAACACGCTTCATCCCCTAAGGCTCGAAGCGCGGTACAAAGTCAACAAAATACAAATCTATAATTTACCACATTTAAAACAAACGCAACACTACAAAAACTAATTACAAGCATGCAATGGCAAAGTCTTTCTAGCCATTTCAACCTCAAGCAACACAGCCATTATGCATTAACTGGAAAATAAGGTTGACAATCATCCCAGAAGGTGTTTGCGAAATAGGTGTGTTAGGTGTGTCTTTAAATTGGTTTTAAAGGACTCCAGTGTCTGGTTGTTTCTGAGATCGACAGGAAGGGCGTTCCAAATTGTTGGACCAGCAAATGCGAAAGTGCACTTTCCGTAAGTCTCAAGGCAAACACGTGGTGTCGAGAGTTTGCCACTGTTGGATGAGCGGAGCTCTCTAGTGGGTACATAAGGCGTCAGCAGCTCTTTCAGATAGGACGGCGCCAGGTCATGTAAGCAGCGGTAGCACAACGTTGCGATTTTGTACTCCATGCGAGCACGCACCGGTAGCCAGTGCAGCTCTCTCAGAAGTGTTTTTGCATGGTCGAACTTGCGTTTGCGGAGAACAATGCGAGCCGCATTATTCTGTGCTATTTGAATTTTATCCAGGAGCGTAGCTGGAAGACCCACCATGAGAGCATTGCAATAGTCCATGCGTGATAGCACAAATGCAGACATCAGCCTCTTTGTTGTATCAATTGTTAGGAAGGGCCTGATTTGACTAATCCTGCGCAGCTCCAGAAAAATCGCCCTGCATAGCATGTTAATATGACTTTCAAAAGTTAGTCTTCTATCTAGGTAGACACCCAGGTACCGCACTGTTTGAGCTAACTCAATACGCACACCTGAGAGAGTAATGGATGTCGTGTTATTTGCAGATTTCTGCTTCTGAGCGGTCGCAATGGGGAGCAGCTCAGTCTTATCATCATTTAATTTGAGCTTGTTAATGGTCATCAAGTGCTTAACCGACTCCATTGTCTTCTGTGTAATACTGAGCAGCTGAGGGAACTGAGAAGTGATCACGGATTGATGAAGTTGTGTATCGTCCGCGAACATGTGATACAACATGTCAAACTGCCTGATCTCTGCACCCAGGGGCTGAATGTACATCGTGAAAAGCATCGGGCCTAGGACCGAGCCCTGGGGTACTCCGAATTCGAGATTAGATTTCTTCGAGGTCAAGCCGTTTGAAATAACTGACTGGACCCGATTAGTCAGATACGATCGGAACCAACACAGGACGGTATCAGTGAGACCAAACGTTTGTTGCAGACGCTGGAGCAGTATGCCGTGGTCGAGCGTATCGAAAGCTGCCGATAAATCGAGTAAAGACAAAAACGATACCTGGCCCTCATCACAAGATGACAGAAGGTCGTTTACGGCGCGCAACAGGGCTGTCTCAGTAGAGTGATGCACCCTGTATGCTGACTGGAATGGTTCAAACAAGTCAAACCGAGTGAGGTGATCCTGGAGTTGGAGGAGAACGACTTTTTCTAAGATTTTAGAAATAAATGGTAGATTTGAGATGGGGCGATAATTTTCCATCACATTTGGGTCAAGATTTGATTTCTTTAATAGTGGAGTGACGATCGCCTCTTTAAAAGATGATGGAACAATACCAGTAGCTAAGGACTGATTTATGATATAAGTGATGATGGGGACTATTTCATCCAGACATTCATACAAGAGCCCTGCTGGAAGAGGGTCAAGCGAACATGACTTTCTTGGGGTATCAGCGAGGATTTTCCTCACATTCGATTCACTGACCTCAACAAATTCACCCATAGAAGAGCCGTTGAATAGTGAGAATTCTGGAGCAGTATCGATGCAACTGTCAAGTTTCGCTCTGATCCTCTAAACTTTTGTAATAAAGTAGTCATTTAGAGCGTCTGGCAGCTCTTCTACAGCAATGTTATTTGGCAGAGATGTAGCCTTGTTTTTACCGGTCAGCTGACCCACAATGCGAAATAAGTCCTTGCTTGATGGCGCTTAGTGACCTACACACGTGTTATATTTATTTTTACCCAACCCTTTATTTTATTTTGTTTATGTATTCGGTATTTCCAAGTGTTCTTTGTCAGAATTTAACACAGGGAGCCTGGTGAAAACCTGAATTCGGCTTAGGGACTTTGAAACAAAAGTTTTAGAAGCACTGGCCTAACCCAACAAAATATGTCACATGCACGTTAAAGATACGGTGGGCTAAAAATTACTGAAAAACCTCTACTACTTAGTACTTTCTGAGTGTCTCTAGCGAGTTCATTTGTGCCAATACATGGCACCATTATGACCATAATTCCTACAAAACAGAGCGTGATATTTTTACAGCATTCGAGATATAAATTTTATGAACTTTATTATTATTATTAAATATGCTACTTTTGGACTTTCAGAGTTTCAGGATGAATATTGTTGAGTTTTTGAATAATGTACGTACATTCTGCAGAGACCCTCCACCCACCCCTATCATTATGAATATGTGGCGGTGTTAATTTTCAGACTTAAATATTTAGACCCCTCGCCCACTCTTTTTACACAAAAATCTAAATCTACACCACTCCATTTTCCTCTTAGGGCAAACGTAACATAATTAAAGATGGTCCCCAACCAATCCTATTTCTCGATCCATTTACTGCTGGAGCTAGAATGCAAATACAAGTTAAAACTAACAACCAAAAATGTACTTCTTAATAAAAAAAATTAAAATATTTTAATCAGAAAAAAATACTGTTATGTGTATATAGTTTTAACCCGGTCTCTTAAAAACATAGTTCTGATGGGTCTCGGTGTACAATCGTAAAAGACATCTCAAATTGTACGCCAAAATCGTAAGAGTAAACAGGTCTGAACTATTGATTAAATTGACTGTTACCTCCTTCCCCAAGTTTTGACCACCTCAACCTCCTTGATCAACCTGATGTTCTCGTAGTAAGTACACAACTGGGTGTAGATATAATGGAAGGCAGACATTGACATGGTCTCTCTGGAATAAATAAATATAGCAGTGTTTGAGGAATTCTGACACATCTCATTTTTCCCATTTTAATTTTACATATGATTTTTTACTTTTGTTTTTTTCCATTTGATTTTTCAATTTGACTTTTTCTATTTGATTTTTATATTTAAATATGATTTTTTTCCCATTTGATTTTTTACTATTCACAACCAAGTAAGAAAAGAGTTTCTTAAGATGGATTCTTCAGCATACAAATTTGTGAGGAATATCAACTGATATTTACATGAAATAATTTAGTCACCATCAATAAACATGATAGTTAATGAAAATGCTTGAAGCTTCACCAACCAAAACAGCTTGTAGCTATGTGATGTCACTAACTGATCACTGGTAAACAGGTTAACACACACACAATCCCAGGAGCGCCCACTAAACAGATGTGATCTGGCTCAAAGTACTTGGCAGACATACAAAGTGATGACATGGACAGAATCTCTTACTGGGCAGAAATACAAAGTGATGACATGGACAGAATCTCTCACTTGGTAGACATTCAAGTGACGACATTGACAGAATCTCTTACTGGGAGGACATACAAAGTGATGCTATGGACAGAATCTCTCACTGAGCAGACATACAAAGTGATGACATGGACAAAGTGATGAAATGGACGGAATCTCTCACTGGGTAGACATTCTAGTGACGACATTGACAGAATTTCTTACCCTACAAGGTCCACCCGCTTGCAGTGCAACCTACAGAACTCCATGAAGTACCTCATTGCCCACAGGTAGTAGGTCTCATCATTGTCTTGGGTGGACTTTCTGGATAGAGCATCCTGTGGTGAATTGGGGCGTCAATGAATGAGGAATCACACAGATAAGTTGGTATGGTTTATAGCAGGAGAATAAGCTTGTGATAAATGGGGGTGTCAATGAATAATGAGGAATCACACAGATAAGTTGGTACGGTTTAAAGCAGGAGAATGTGTTATCATGAATTTTTATTACAAAAGAATGTTTGCTTGCCGGAAAAAAAAGATCAAAACGTAGAAAAACAATGTTTGCTGGCAAAAATATGCTTTAAGGATGATGTAATACAATATGAATGCTTGCCAAAAATATTGAATTAAGATCCCTAATATTTGGAAAAAAATTGAGAAATATTTGCAACAGTTACCATTTGCAACATATTCAGAGCGCAACATTGAATAAAAAAGCTGTTTTTAACTTGAAGAGAAGCCTATATTAAGGAAATGAAAGTAAAAAATTATAAGAAAGGGAACTTACCTTGACAGCTCTCATCAATGGGTTGTAAGCATTGATCAGGAACTGGACACAGAACTCCTTGAGGACCAATCTCATGCTCAACGTTGACCTACGTTTATTGTCGTCTCCCCTTATGGTCATTCTATTTTTAGATTGCTTTTTGGGATTTTTCCCTTCATCGTAGGAGAAGGTCTTGGCCTCGGCTATAGACTTGTGGTAAATGACATCACTTTCACTGATGGATTTCATGTTTTTGATGACGTAAGTGCCGCCAAACCTGGAATGTCTTTTCATGGGAAAAACAGTACAGCAGTAGAAGTAGTAGTGTTAAAAACACAAAACATTCTGAAGGGAAAAAAAAAAGTATAGTATTCTTTTTCCTGGATCTACAAATACAAAGACACACGGATGGCATCTGTGTCCATCTACAAATACAAAGTTATATGGATGGCATCTGTGTCCATCTACAAATACAAAGACACACGGATGGTGTCTGTGTCCATCTACAAATACAAAGACACACGGATGGCATCTGTGTCCATCTACAAATACAAAGACACACGGATGGCATCTGTGTCCATCTACAAATACAAAGACACACGGATGGCATCTGTGTCCATCTACAAATACAAAGACACACGGATGGCATCTGTGTCCATCTACAAATACAAAGACACACGGATGGCATCTGTGTCCATCTACAAATACAAAGACACACGGATGGCATCTGTGTCCATCTACAAATACAAAGACACACGGATGGCATCTGTGTCCATCTACAAATACAAAGACACACGGATGGCATCTGTGTCCATCTACAAATACAAAGACACACGGATGGCATCTGTGTCCATATCCATGCAAGTTAGCAAAACTGTTCTCACTTGAACACCATGAGCGCCAACATACACAAATGTTAAATTATTGCTGTTTAATACGCTACTTATGTTAATTGGAATTATTCTCTTTGACTTTAAACAGATGCTTTGAGTGAGACAAGCACAGGTCATACCCTAGGCACATTAAGACTTTTAGAAAAGCACAACTCATACCCTAGGCACATTAAACTTAGACAAGCACAAGTCATACCCCAGCACACTAAGACTTTTAGACACACACAAGTCATACCCTAGGCACAATAAGAATATCACATTTATAATCTGGGAAAAAATTTAAAACTTCAACAGGATTTTTTTAAATAACATTTATTTGTCTATAGTCTACAATTTGATCCTGCTTTCTATGTATGGGATATTCACAAAACTAAAACCACAAAAGCTATTAATTGTGCACTTACGAAGAATTTAATAACTTTTTATTCCCTGTAGGAAAACTACAATAATTTGTGTTTTGCATTAAGTCTGATATAACTATCACCTAATGCACACAACTTCAGCAAAAGTGTTAAAAACACTAAATTAATTCCTAACCTGGCACTGAATTTGAGAATGTTGGCTTTCTTTTGGGCTCGTTCTTTTTCCCTGGCCTGTTCAAGTTCTCTGTAGACAAAATAAAGCTGTCATTCCAAAGAATTTTGAACATGATTTTAAGGTTGTTAATGGCAACAATGCTTTATGAATGAACAGTAAAAACAAACAATCCATTTATCTTACTTCTGATCTTTCTCCTTTTCAGTTGTTGACCTCTGAACCCCGGCTGAAGCAAGAGCCTCTGCCTCCTGTAGGAAAAAGGGATAAAGAATTTCTTGAAAGACACTTGCTCTTCTCACAATAAAATGAGTATGACAAAGCCGTTTGAGTGAAACGATCAAGACAAAAATAGGTGTGCTTACCTGCTCCTTGAACATAAGGGAGATAATTTCTAGGATGTGCATGCACAGCATATTTCTCTCCCGTTCCGAACTAGCAATGAACAAGATCAGGTCTTCTACACCACTCGTGTGCATAGTCCACAAAATTTGATCATGAGTACTGGCATCATCTTCTGTACGCTGTAGATACAAAATTTATTTAATCTATTCATTCAGACTGCCAGTCACTGTAATAATAATATTTCAATTGAGGAGAAATTTAACTTGGTTTAAGGCAATGCAAAACACAGTCAACACCAATTATGTTAAATTCATAAATCAAAAACAGATTTCTGTAAGTAAAAGGTGAATGTAAAATATCTTTATCAAATCAAGACAACTGGAGTACAGACCTGTTCCCTGGCTGGGTCAGCAGGTATCATAAGAATGTTACGTATAAGCACAAACAACCTCTCCAACTGCAGCTTGTCTTCTTCTCTCATCTCATCCCAATTCTACAAGAATAATCAAAAGCCTCAATCATTTTATTATGTTAAAAAAATAACAGGAAATCTGTGCAGAAAAGGCAAAATTGATGACGAATAACATCACCGCCATCTCCACTGAAATTAGGGTCGGGGAGGAAAGATTAGAGACGGTTGGCACCTTCAAGTACCTAGGAGCAATAGTCTTGTAAATCAGCGCTCATTAGTCCTCTCCATTTTCTTGTATGCATGTGAGTCCTGGACATTAAAACAGAACTTGAAAGAAAAATAAAGGCGATGGAGATGAGATGTTTTAGAAGCAATCTTGGAATCTGCTATAGAGACCATATCTCTATCGAACAAGTCAAAGAAAAAATTCGGCAAGCAATTGGACAGTATGATGACCTCATGGGAACCGTAAAAATGCGCAAACTAGAATGGTATGGCAACGTGTCAAGAAATCAAGGCTCGAAAGAAATCATGCAGGACAGAACAATAAGAGGGGGAAGAAGAGGAAGAAAGAGAAAAAGATGGGAAGATAACATCAAAGGGTGTACGGGACTAAAACTAGGCGATGCTGTGTAAAGTGCAGAAAACAGAAAGGAATGGAGAAGGATAGTTTTCATGTTATCTGTGGCACCCGAACAGTCCAAGGACTAAGGGACATGATGATGATGTAGAACAGGAAATGGGATTTATAATTATTGTTCTTTTCATATAATAAAAAAATATTTGTCCGTTTGACTTTAAAAATAATTTGAAAGGAAATTTGTGCAAGACTAGCTTGCTATGATATTTGGATACAGATTAATGTGTACTTAAATTAAACATTATAACTCACCATCTTAAGGATGTCCATTATTTTCTCACAAAGAACATTAAAGAAATCTTCATCTATAAAAGCCTGAAATAAGTATAGCAACAATATAATGTTAATACTTATTAATAAAAATTTGACCCAGACAGTATTTCAATAAGGGAAGATTCATCTTAAATTTTTCTTATATGCAGTTAATACGGAACAAAAAAAAAAATTAAAAAATTTTCAAATGATTATTCTTAAAACTGCCAGTCAAGTACTAAAGGATAAATGAGGTAAATATAATTTATTTGTAAATAAAATCCCAAGCTTGTGTCTGGGGTTCATACCCACTTAAGACCAAGTCATGCAAAAACATCACCAGCACCCTGAGTGGATGGGACCCTTTAACCTTGGATGGCAACTCATCTAAGAGAAGGAAATTCTGAATCAAACCGGTAGAAGGAGTCGCATTGACAAACAAATCAATACAATGAAAAATTCAGAAAACTGTGATGCTACTGGTGCCAAGCTGTAGCATCCATACCGGTATACGGTGTTCCCCTGGGGTTTTCCAGGTGCATAGAGAGAGGCCATTTGCTGCCTAGGGAACCAGCTTATAGGCCCAAAGAAAAATCCCAGGCCTTGTAATTTCGTCTACACCATCATCACATTATGACTGACGAATGCCATTAAAAAAGTAAATAAAATGGAACGCAGTGATGTGGAATCTTGTTAAAAGCTTTGGGGCTTATAAAAACGACAATTCATAATTATTGAATTCTAGACTGTCAATTAATATTACCTCTTTATAGTCTTGCAGGTACCCTTCTACTTCAATACAATAGTTCCTCAATGTTTTCTCATCTGGGAGTTCATTGTTCCAGCATGTGATAACTGGCTGAGTTAAGTTAACTAGTAATCTAGAGCGTAAGAGGAATGGATATTAAGTTAACTGTAATCTAAAAAGTAAGAGGAATGGAAATTAAGTTAAACAGTAACCTAAGGAATAAGAAGCATGGAAATTTCAAAATTTTCAAAAGAATAAACATTGGCATTTATGAAAAAATTGGCACAATGTTTCGGATGAATGAAATCCCTTCTTTGATCTTTGGAGGATTCCTCAAACATCAACACTCTATTTTAGACAGCCAGTAACTATATTGGGATTAATTAACTCTCTGTCATATTATTCAGCTCTTAAAGAAAACTTACTTGGTGATTGTCTCAAACAGAGTTTTATCCTTGTTGTAATATTTAACAAGGGGAATGATATCTTTTTGAACAATTTTAGCATGACCAAGCTGTCGACGTATGTCACATATGTCAGAGTCACGACGCAGAAAGCGGATTAAGTCCTTGACAGTTTCTAAAAAGAACAAGGAATAAAGATTGAATAGAAAGCCAAAGAAATCAAATTTATATCAAAGTCATATATATTTAATTATCTCATAAATTTATTTTTCAATAAAAAACAACAACATTTGAAAATGATTTGTAATACATCTTATTTCATTGTGTTTTAAAGTGTAAACAATTACAATAACTTTCTATAAAACTTATACTAAAACTTCTAAAACTACAACACTTTTCTTTCAACACCAGACATAGTTCATCTGAGCAGATCTAAATTACAACATTGATTTCAACTGTCAAAACATCCTTGGAGTCAGGGGTGCCACACATGAAAGTTGTGAACCCTGAAATTCCTTTCTAAAAATTTCTTGAAACCTGAAACTTCATTTACAAATTTTTCAAACCCTGACACTTAATGAAACTCATAAAATTCATACACCGTAGAAATAATTTCTTGTGCAATGATTACAAACGAAAGCGAGAGGTAGCAGTACCTGTTCTATTGATAGTGAACCAGCTCTCACTGCATAGGCTTTTCACGTTCTTAAAAACTGATTTTTTTTAAAAACCAAGAATCCGTACTGGTATTTGAATAAATTGACCTGGCGAATGCGGAGCCAGAGAAAATAAAAACTCGCAAATCTGGAGCTTAAAAATATTTAGCCTCACGACTCACGAGTCCGAGATAATCTGGAAAAGTGGCACCCCTGCTTGGAGTGTAAAAACATAATTTTAATTTACCTAGACAGTCTGGTTCCTTGATATATTTTTTATCCTCCATGTACCCCAGAGCACTGCATGTTGCTTGCAGCTCCACATCCATTTCTGCCCCTCCACACTAGAGCAGCTCTAATTATCAGTTTTTTACCAAACAATGATTCAGGCTTAGAATCTTCCTACTTCCTCTAAAAAAGTAATATAAAAAAAAGGTATGCGAATACAAAAAACGCAAACAAACCACATGCTAAACATTTGTTTAAATGTTATTCTTAGGTTATCAGGTTTAGAGCCTTCCACTTAGGCCTACCTTAAAATTACATATTAATTTAATTTGGTAATATCCCATAACTTAATACTTAGCTAGTATTGAGTCAGCTTTATTCAGCTAATTGAGGTTAATTACCCCAAATGGGATAAAAATGGAAATCTTGGGGATAATTAATGAGGGCTAAACAGACATAAATAAAATTATATTTAAAGAGTGTTTTATGTGAGATAATTTATACTGGCGATACTGCATCTGGCGTGTGTAATAGCCTTACGCACCCAATAACTTGTGGTTTCTAGTGGCTAGGCAGCTGGCGCTCATGTATCGTCTTGTATAAGTCATTTTTGACTAGTCCCCGCCCTTTTTTAATAATCTTAGTCTCAGTGGTGTCACTATAACTGGTTGCACCCAATGTACTAAACTCGAGGTATCACCCCATCCAGACGTCTCCATAGACCTCCTCTGAGACAGCCTGGGCTGGTGACACCCTGTTCTGGATGTACACTACTTTGGTGATAGATGCCACCCTGCACTTGTATTACACTTAGAGGTGTTATGAAACCAACTTGATTAGGCATGGTCAATTTTACTCATTTTCATTTAGTGACATCCCACCCCCCCCACTTCCCATGTGAGAGTGTGAAGCCCTAGTCCTAGTGAGGATGTCCCGACTGCAGAATCCTTGGTACATTCCATACCCTGCACTCCTTAGTGACACTACTGCTTATACCTATGCCATGCTTAAAACGCCAATGAGATTCAACTATTGACTATTGTCAAAATTGCCCAGTGACTCACTATATTAACTATATAATATAACCTAACTTTGCGACAAGGATTTTTCAATCAAATGAAAATATAACAAAGTAACAAAGCACAGAAATCAATTATTCATTGTATAAATATGGAACATCATGTTGATATGTTATATGTTGCGTACTATGTACTAAGTATTAAAATTAGCCTACATATTATTATCATTATTTAGGCTTTAACTTTAGCCTTGCCTTTTTTTATGTTTAATTTTTATTTAGGTCTAATAAAAGTACTAATACTAGTACAAGCTTTCTTACTAAGATTCTTAGCATTGCCATATTACTCAAATAGGCCCTTTTTAGGCTTAGGCTTTACATTTTAAGCATAATATGTCAGACGTCTACTGACATAAGCCTAATAACGTCTAAGTAAAGTAAAAGGCAAGGCTATTAACTATTAATATTCAGCTATTAATATTATCATTAAACTTTAATGAACTAACCATACTAAAATACTATTAATTCGAATTAAAATTAGTGCCAGTGCCTAGTCTTGTACATTACTCATTACAACTATGTATTTCGCAAAGCTGAAGTCTAACAACTCTAAGGGCTATAAATCTTTATCAACAATAATCTAACCTTTTTCACGGAGAAACCTCAATTATTTTAATGAATGTTAAACAATTTAATGTCAACAGTAAAAAGTTCGACAGATTTTCTTTTTCAGGACATTGTGTTTGGCGCAAAACAAAGGTCAAGGTTGAGAATTTGGATACATTTCGGGAATTCGCAAAATTCTTTAATAATCAAAAGGCATTAATGTTACATCAATTAAATTTCAAATATAGTTCATACTTAAACATCTAATATTAAAAATCGATACTTAAAAAAATGAAAATATTAATAAGATTCTTAATAACTTTTTAAAAAAGTTTCAAGCACAGTAAGATCTAATGAATTATTATATTATATAGGCATAGGCATAGGGAAATTTGCTGTAGTTCACAACATAGGAACAGTTGCAGGGCCATGATGATATCCTGAACAGTATCTGCGATCTTTATTATGGAATGCAAAAAAACATGTAAAGCAAAGAACCTAAGACCAAAGGTCATGTAGGACGTACCAAAGAAAAAGGTGACAATGCTATCAATGGTCATTTGTTCGGAAAATAAACGGGAGTTTAAATATCTGGGAAGTATTTTCACCAAGGACGAAACATGGATAGAGACAAGAGTCTTGAAGAGTTTCCGCGGGCAAACGCAGGGACCTACTAATCGCCCAGCTACTAAGACACCCATGAATGAAGATGGAGACCGAAGCAAAGAGAATTAACCCTGTCTTTATTCAATTTTTTTTATTCCAACGCTTAATTGCCAGTGTTAAAACAAGGCTCTGAATAAAGTTTCCGGAGAGATAAATAGCAAAACAAGAAGGGATCCCATTCGGAACCAGAAAATACGACAAATTTTTGGTGCCATCCCAGTCAGCCAGACATCCCCCAAAACACAAATGAATTGGTTTAGACACCTGGTCAAAATGCCTGTCAACCAACCTGCATCGCAAGTTGCACGTATACAATAGCAGGCACTCCGATTTCAGGGCCAGAGTAAGACCACGCAGTTGTTGGATTGACGGTGTTAAGGGCACCTGAAAATCTACAACATGAATCTTAAGCAGGCCTCACACCTTTCTGCCATCCGTCTAATGACTCTAATGCTGCTCTGCCTCAATGTACAAAACTTTTGAGCTTAACTTCGAGTTTGGAACAAGTCTTGTCACAAGTTTCACATTACTATTTGATTCAACTCCCATTTTCTGTCTACAAAAAGAAGCCGCGCACAAATTACTGCCTTCACACAAAAATTTGAGGCAAAATTTGAAGCTAATTTGATCGTGTGAACTGACGCTATGCGGCACATCATTTAGTAGCATAAATATTGCCTTCCTATTATGCGGCATATCATTGTTCTTATTATTAGTGGTTTTATATAGTAGTTTGTACATACAATTTAACATAATATATAATCATGAACTTAAAAATTACAATACATTAATTAAATCAAACAAAACAAATGTATATTCACTCCACCCATTCCAGATCTATTTACATGTCAAGCCATGGACGGCACCCAGCAGCATCGTTTTTGCGGCACATCATCTTATAGCATATTTATTTCCTACTGTGTGGCTACTAAATTATTTATCTCTGTATTCTAGGGTAACCAAATCATGAACTGGAAAAAACGGGACACTTTCAAGGACGGTCTTGGGGATGGGGGGGGGGGGAATAGCAATACCTAAAAACATTATTGCAAACTGTGCACTCCCTCACTTTCATAGCGCCCCTTTTTAATATAGCTCCACTCTTTGGAATACTCCTCCATAAACTGACATTGATGCTTGGGCATACTTATTATCTACATGAGAAGATAATATAAAATTAAAGAATAAAGTTCAACACCNAAAAAAAAAAAAAAAAAATCTGCTTCAAGTCTCGTGTCTTTCGCTATACATTTATATATAAGATCTATGGCAGGGACACTGTGGTAGAGGGGGAACAGTCTATGCAGCCATCACGCGAGCCCACATCACCACTGGCACTGGCTACAGTGCTAGCCAAAATATATCTTGAAGTTATATTATAAATTGGGAATTTTTGTTGATTTAAAAATGTGTTTGGGTTTTTTTTTAAAACGGGACATTTAGGCGTCCCGAGATACTTTTTCGGGACAACGGGTTCGATCGTGAAAAAACGGAACACTCCCGTTTTTACGGGACGTTTGGTCAGCCTACTGTATTCAGCTTTGTTTGCTTAAAAAAACTGGCTATGTCCAGTTTTGTGCCCCCCTTCCCCTGTATGAACATGCACCTATATTGAAGCACGTGCCTTTATTGCTAAATGGTTAATCCAGCCTGATGATATCGTAATGTGTACATGCTTGTAATATTATTTAGTGGATCACTGTTAACGCTGGATTAGCTAAACTTTTTTTTGAAAATGTATGCCTAATTTTTTGCAAGCATAAAAATATTTTTAAAAATGAAAGCGGAATCCACGTTCTTTTACTTTTAATTTTTTTTGTTGCTTTTTTTTCCTCCTGTGAAAAAGGGAGGCGGGGGAGTATGACGCCCCTAAACCCCCCTCCCCCCGACTCCCTATGCTACTTGTGTGTTCAAGCATATTATGTTGTTACAACTTTGTTGGGTCGAACTTCTATCTAACTGACGTGATTATTGATCATTGTCATGGTACACTTCACAACAGGCTTATGTAAGAGTACCCTGCGCCCACCGCTCGCACAACCCTAGATTTGCGATCATGTGATGTGTCATGCAAGCAATCAGGTCCTGTGTCATGTATGCGATCAGGTCATGTGTCATGTAAGACTCATACAATTGTAAAAACTTCTCGGCTACATTTGTCAGTCTACATAAATGAATAAATTCAAAAGACCAGATGCCTTAATTTAAAAAAAAATATAATTAAAAAATGTAGAGGGGATTTCCCGGGAAAACACTGACTCGAGGGGATTCCCCATCAAGACCCCGCAAAGATTCTATTGATTTTACCTTTCACCGATTGGGGAGTGGGGGGGGGGGAGTGGGGGTAACTAGGTCACGGCTTACATCTAAGGCACCAGCTTCTTCTTCCTCGGGTGTTACACCTATTCAACAAGGCGGGACAAAGGCGATGATTTTGGACCCGCGTCTGATCTGAATTCTTTGACTTTGATCATCAGAGAACAAGGACGTTGATCACAAGTCGTCTTGACAAAGTCTAGTGGACATACAACACATTTAGTATATCTCTTATCCTGCTTGGTTCCTATTCTCCATCCATATTCAACCTTTGCTGCTCCATATAATATATTTTCCGGAGAACGTCTCTATGCGTTAAATATGTTTTCTACTGTGTTTGTTAGGATCCAAGTTTAATTTAACTTGCGTATGTTACAACTGGTCTGATTAGTTTTATAAATAGTTTTCTTGGTTTGTCTTGTAATGTTTTTACTTTTGATTATTTTCTGACTCCTGAAGTATGCCATGTTTCCGACAGATATTCTTTCTTTATTT